ATAGCATCTTGAAAATACTTATGATACACAGACATGAAACTTCTGAGTAGTTTATAAACCTTTGTTTCTTTTTTTAATCCTGAACCCCAATTTCCAACATATTTTTAAAATCTTCTCCTATGTTCAATTACCTTTGCTTTGAAGTCATTGAATGTTTGATCATTAACAATGTTTGCCACTGTCATGGATCATATTCTATAGTTGCTGAAGTCTTCTGTTTCTGTTTGTAGATGATTAAAGAGCTGATAACGTGAAGCCCCAGAATCCCCTTAATGAGATCTACTTCTACTCAAAAGAGTTCATCCTATCAATCTACACAGGAAAAACCAAGTAGATGAAGAATGCCTATTGTTCTGACTATAGCATAGTTTGCCATTCAGTTATTCTATCAGTATGCAGATCTTGGATATTTCTTGGGCAGACACTGCAGATGGACAATGAGCTAGACCCAGAATGAAACAGGAAAAACCAAGACTAGATTTCACTTAAGAAACTGAACAGCATTTTCAACAATCCCAAGTTGTTCTAAAAACTTACCTTTGGGTTCTTATAGGACAGGTTCTCAAGTCCTCTCACCATGCTAAACATCTTCTTCTGGAATAATGCAGCTTATTTACATGCTTCCTAAAATGCAGCACCCAGAATTGAACTCAGCACTCCATGTGTGATTGACAAGGGCAAGGCACAGAATGATATGGCAAAATTAATACTTCCCTTCCTGCCACTTAATGCAACAGCTTGAAACAGTGCTAGATCTTCCAGTTTCCAGTTCACTAAATGCTGCAGCAACTGGTATCTAACTATGCCTTCCCTGTCACTGGCTTAGTGAATCGTGGATTTGTTTTTTTGAACTTAGAGATGGAATTCATCCCCTACTAAATAAGAAGCAGAATGAGATAGGAGGTAGAGTGCTGCACTAAGGGTTGGGAAGACCTGAATTAAAATTCTCACCTCTAACAACACATGTATGGCTGTCAGCAGGGCATTTAACTTCTCTGAATTTCAGGCAACTTTCTAAAACAACGCATTATTGCAATCTGTGATAGTGGGCTAAAATCCATTGTAATAATAATACTAAGTTATTTTTAAGTTCACACATGGTAAATATCAATAGAAATAACCCACATAAACAAAAGCTCTTGGGGGGGGGGTCTTCAATAATTTTTATGAATGTAAAGAGGTCCTGAAACCAAAAAGTTTGAGAACTACTGCTCTATGGAAGCAAATAGGCACTTTTTTCCCTAGCAGTGTTCTCACCCTGGATACATCTTTTCCTGAAGTCCCCTCCTCCAACTGGTAAGTTCCTGCCCAGGACCACCATTTCAGAAAGTATCCAGGTTCTCCATGCTTACTTCTCTCTCAGATCTACTCCTAATTTTCTAGACATTTCTGCCTTATGCCACCTTCCCTTCCCCACCAGTTCCCTTTGATGTGTTATCTTCCCCCACTTAGCACAATGCCCGTCCTTAGTAAGTGCTCCATAAATTATCTGTCTCTCTGTCTCCTATCTGTCTATCCCTGTCTATACATTTCCATATTTTAAGCTGTGGCTCATAAACTGAAATTGATTTCTCAGACATTATCTTCTTAGTTAGCTATTCACTTCTTAATGCTGCCTTTCTCTTCTGAATACACTACCTTTAATTGGCAGCAAGGATGAAAACACCACTTGTGGCCCCAGAGTGTTGAGGTTTTCACCCAGGACTCCATATTCTTTATCAAAGTTTCCTTGGTTTCTTCTAGAGGAATCACTTGGATATACAATGAGCCAACAGATGTGGTAGTGGTTATCAGGTTTGACTAGTATGAAGTTCTCCATCACAGTCAAATTCATGCCTTGGAAAGACAGTAGACCTCTCTGTTGTTCATTGTCAGAACAATAAATAGCTGCCTCAGTACCCCCTTGGAAAGGATTCTCCAATCACCATTATCCCTCTTTTCTTCCTCTGATCAAGCACTGAAAAGCACCTACGGATTCCCATCATCATTTCTTGGCATGTGAAAAACTATTTTGCTTTAAGAAGGTTCAGAACCTCACTCTTCCTCTACAGGAATCCTCATAGATATCATTTAGTTCCAAGTATTTAAGATGTCTTTCTTTTCCTTTTTTGTGTCCCATTCTTCCAATCTCCAACTTTCTGATAAAGGTTGGAAATCCTTTTTGCCTCTTCACATTCTGTCTCTTCTTTGTGTCTTCATAAAAGTACTTCAAATATTTCTATCTATATAATGTCAATTGATCTTCACAATAATTCTGAGAGACAGAGAGAGGTTAAGGGACTAGCATAGGTGGAAAGTTATGGATTCAAGCCCAGGTCTCTCGGACTCTCTGACCACTGCTTCCTACCCACTATTATTAGCTGAGTTCCTGCAGATGTTCCCCTTTCCACTTGGGGAAACTAAGCAACTTAGCTGTTTCATAAACACAATCTTTCACAGACTTTTGATTACATTCTACAAATCCAATGGCATGTACATGCTATAAGACTTTATTATTACCCAATGAAGTTATTGATATTTGCTTGTTCCAAAAGTATTTCTGTAGGGTCAAATGCTCTACAAATTTCACTCTTCTTTCTCCCTTTTGGGGAGTAAGTATTCATTTTTTTTATAGCTGCCTTAGGTTAAATGTTAAGTGTCAAAGGGTCACTAATATTATATGGATTTTTGTTAGGATACTTTCCAAAGCCGTTGTGTCCATCTGCTAGTTCCCAAAACTTGGTATTGTGTAACTGTTAATAGCTTTAAACATGCTCTTTCCATTCGGCTAGATTTCAGGATGACATTAAGTCTCTTAACATATATAGCCATAACCTTCCCCTTGATCTCTTTGTGCTCATTATGTCTTGCCTTGAGAACAAGGTGTTTTTGTTGCTGTTGTTAAACATATCTTCTATTGACCAAAAGAATAAAAATTATAATCAATAATAGGCTTTGTAGAAAGAATTCACATTTAAATGGACTTAATTATTTAATCCTAGAGTCAGTGGGTCAAAGAAGAAATCATGGAAATGATAATTTCATCAAACAAAATGACAAGAATGAGACAACATGCCAAAATTTTTGGGATGCACCCAAAGCAGCCCTGAGAGTACACTGAATCCCTGAGAATTGATGGGATTATTATAAGAGATAGTATAGAAGAAAAAAAAAGAGGGTCCAGGACAGAGCCTTGAGGTACACACATTGTAGACATGCCATGGATTAAGATATAGCAAAAGATATTGAGGGGAAGCAATTAGCAGAAGATCCAAGAGAAAGCAGGGTCACCAGCGAGCACATGGTATCCATAAGAGAAGAAGGTCAACAGTATTCAATGATAAAGGGGTCAACAAGGAAGAGGATTGAGAAAGGCTATTAGATTTGACAATTAGACTCAGGAGGCATAGGACTGGTAAAGAGGGATGAGGTAATGGGGAGAAGTAATAGTAGCAGAGAAAGGAGATATTCACCTAGGCAGTCTTCAACTTTGAATCCCAAGGATTAGGAAAAGGTAAATAGAATTATTAGTCATAGGATTTGGAAGTAGAATTTGTTTGGAACTCCTGCCCACAAGGTTACTTTGTCAGTGGACATACACAGGGTGTCTGTTTTGGTAATCCTCAAATAGCAGAAAAGAAAAGAGATCAAGATGAGTATATAGGATGGTCAATATATTCCTGGTAATTGAGGCCTGGGGGCTGACTGAACTCTAATTCAATACCAGTTCCTTTGCTTATCCCAAGATGATTGGTGCACAGTCAGAATATACCAGAAACAAAATATATTCTGATTCTTTGTCAGGCCTGAACATCTTTTGTAGGAGGTTCAAGAACAAGGTATTTGTAAGAGGAAAGGAAGGTAATAAGCATTAATTAAGTATCTACTATGTGCCAGATACTGTGCTAAGTGATTTACAAATATTATCTCACTTGGTCCTCACAACAACCCTGTGAAGTAGGTGCTGTCATTACCCCCATTTTGCAGAGGAGGATATTGAGGCACAGAGGTTAAATGACTTGCCCAAGGTCACATAGCTAGCAAGTATCCAAGGCCAAATCTGACCACAGGTCTTCCTGATTCAAGGTTCAGTGCTCTATGCACTGTACCACCTACCTATTGCTTTCACCTTGATTTATTGGTTCAAAGTGACCTCCAGACTCAAGCTGAAAGCCTTAAGTCTCTTTTTTTCCTTAGCTTATGTTTACAACTTTTAGAGGCAGCTTTCAAAAGATCTCCAAAAAGGAAGGGAGAGGAATAGATCTTGGTGTTCCCAATAACGCAAGCACTTGTGTAGGGCAGAAAGAAAGTCTCGGCTATGCATATTTTCAGGAGAAGTTACCTGTTCAAAGACTAATAAAAACAATTGTCTTTGAATGGACAAACAAGTCCTTCATGGGACACAGATTTGGGACCAAAGAAATATAAACATCATCATACATTGAAAGAGCAATCAGTAGTATAAGTAACAAGTTCCCTCTGACTTGAACTGAGAAGAATAAACAAGAAAACAATGAATCCTTCAGGAAATATTTGTGAGATGTTTAGGCTCTAATGATTTTGAAAGGCACGTGCAAAGGAAAAGAACTGGGTCACACTTGGACAGAGTCTTATTTATTTTGCATAAATCAGTTCAAATCAGAACTATGGTTTTCAATACCCTAAATGATTCTTTGCTCCTGATTATGCCTCTCTGGCATAATCTCACAGATATGGGCACCTATTTTCAAAAGGATAATTTTATGAATGAGAATTATCACAGCAATGTTAATTTTGCTCTTGTTTTCTCAGAGAGCTCAGAGAGGCAACCAAGTGATAGATGATGGTCTGGTAATGGTTATACCAGAAAATGATAATGTTAAGGGGTTAGATTACAGTGGGCTGGCAATATTTCTACAGTCAAATAAGAATACCTTATGAAAACAGGAATGGTTAAAAAAAAAAGGCTGAAAATATTCTGTTTAAACACTAGAGAATAATTTCCCCACTGATCGCTAAAGAAATCATATCTTATACCTCACCTCTTCCAGGGCTGATGGCTGTGAACAGAGGCCTGTGATCATTCATCTTCTCCTGCCTTTCTTTTAGAGAAATAAGATCCATTTCTTTTTTTCCCAAAAACTTGTTCGATGGGTAAAACAAGCCAACTGTTTGTGTGCCTTTGTCCTTCTTTGTTGGCATATTAGATTTCGACATGGGAACATGTAGCCATGCTGATTGAGGCTATGAGGCAAAATAGAGAAGGCAAAAATTAAAACATAATTTAATTTTTCTAGTCTTCTTAACTTATCTAGTCTTCATATCAAAATTATATTCATAAACAAGAAAATCTTTTCTAGAGAAATAAACATTGAACAAAGGAAACTATCAAACTATGAAGGATGCTGTGGGGGAAAACAAGAAATGAAATAAATAGTCTAAACTTTTTACTTTGTTCTCACTAACCCTTTTTCAGTTGATCACTATGAAGTGCTTTTGTTCATTAAGTGTTATGTAAGTACTATAATTCTATAGGGGATACAGTTTCCAAAAGGGTCTAACTTATGCCCAGGTAGTTGCTTATGAATTCAAGAAGGTCAGTACTAAATGACTTTCAGCAGTGTTTCTATCTTCTGTGAGAGGTTGTGGAAGAAGCAGGAGAAGAGAGGACTAAGGCTGAATAAATAGGAAAGGAAAATCATGCAGATGATTTAGAGGACTTTGGCCTTGAGAAGGAGGTCAGAGATTACATTTTAGGAGAAATTGAGGAAAAGTTAAAGAACAACCTCAGCCTGAAATAGGAGGAGGAAGAAGACTCAGATCTTGGAGAAGAAAAAGATTGAGAGAAAGGGGCTCAAAGAGGAGGAGGAAGAAGACTCAGATCTTGGAGAAGAAAAAGATTGAGAGAAAGGGGCTCAAAGAGGAGGAAAGAATATAGTTAGAGCAGCAAGATAAGTAAAACAAAATGCTAAAACACTGAGAGTTATAGAGAAAGGAAAGGAATGTGTACGTGGCTATTAAGTTGCTGAAAGGAGAAGATGAATTTGGCTGTTAGGAGGATATAACATTGTAAAGGTCGTAGGGAGTTGTTTAAAAAACAAGTTGTAAACACTCACTAGCAGATTTTAAAACAAAGATGAATACCTTTCCCCTCCCTCCTATTCTGCTTTCTCTATGGAAATGCTTTTTTTTTTTTGGTTTGGTATTTGTGGGGTTCTGAATAAATTATTTAAAAAACAAGGCTAAGAATATTAATTACCAGAGAGAACATGTATATTACACTGCTCTATCCCCATCCTTTGTGTGTGTCATACATTGAGTGTGCAATGTTTGTATTTCTGCCATGGCCAAGCGATTCCTATCTATGTGGCACATGCAGGCTGGTCTCCCTTCTAGAAGTGAAGGTGACAGGGCTCAAGGAATGCAATCCCCCCCACCTAGATTACTGGGGACAACAAAGTTCTTAAAAGTTCTTTCAAAACCAGATGTGGAAATTTAATGGAAAAAAATAAGTAAACAAAGTGTAGCACATCCTCTAGCTACCCCAAACTTGCAGTCACACTCACAGGTTAGGTCCTCAGAGGGGCAACTGCTACCTTGGGTTCTCAGGGTAACTCTATTTGTGGCTATTTCTACTACTGTGGTTCATAAACCTCCATCAGTGTGCTTCCCATTAAAAATCAGCCAGTACAATTAATTAGCTTTTAGCAAAAGCATTTACTAAGATGGTCTAAGAAAAAACATTTGGAATAAAACATTCCTCCTATAAAATTGGAGAGCCCTTTTCTACAAGTACACACAATGTCCATGGGAAGAGTGGGAGTAAACTTAAGAGTACAATAGTTGTGGGGCCCTGTTATGATACACAGGAACAAAGGGTTACTTACAATTCCTAGAACTGGAAGTCCTTTCTCACTTTGTAAAATCCTCCTGTCGGTCCCTTTGGGGCCTGCTTGGGCCACTGATAAATCCAACTCCTGAGCTGATGAATTGTGAACAAGAACTGGACTAGTAAATTTCTGGAATTTCTCCAGCAATTTAATGCTTCTAGAGATATGGCCAGCTCACTTGCATGGAAAATCATACCATTCCCTTCTTGAACTAACCAAAGACATTTACTCCTCATAAAAGGGTCACAGTATACACTCATTTTTGTTGACACATTAACATTCTGCCATGTGTAACCACCCTTACACTTAACAACTTGTGACAACATTCCAGACCTTCTATGATTAAATTAATTGAAGTGGGGAGGGAAGGGATGAATATCTCTCCCCCCTTAATAAAACTATCTGAAATGGCAGAAAAGAAAAGTGAACTGTGTCAGAGGATGAAAAGGAGAAGAATATCTAGAGGAGGAAAAGAAGGAAAAATGTAACTGTACATTTAGACCTAAAACACAAATTTGAGTGTCTTCCTCCAGAGGAGGGAGCTGGGTGCTCTGAACAAACAGCAGCTACTTGTCCTCTAAGGACAGATTAAAAGCAGTGGTCAGATGAGTGATCCCCCAGTAAGGGCATCACCATCCTCCCAGTCCCTCAAGTTCAAAACTTCTCCTCTGACACTGCCACCACTCTGGTAGCCCCTTCCTCCTTTTCCAGTCTTCCTATACATTACCCCTCATCATATTCTCTTGGATTCAGTGACACTAGCCTTCTGGCTCTTACATGAAGAAGACACTCCATCTCTAAGCTCTGGACATTTTCTCTGGCTGTCTCATGCCTGGAATGCTCTCTTTCCTCCCCTCCAACTAATAACCTTTCTGGTTTCCTTTAAGTCCCAATTAAAATGCCACCTCATAAAGGAAGCCTCCTCCCCCCCTTAATTCTAGTGCCTTTCCTCTATTAATTATTTCCTATTTATCCTGCACATAGCTGGCTTTGGATATATTTGTTTGCATGTTGTTTCCTCCATTAGATGGTGAAGTGCTTGAGGGCAGGGACTGTCTTTTGCTTCTTTTTGTATCCTCAGCACTTAGGACAATGCCTGGCACAAGGTAAGTGCTTAATAAATGTTTGTTAATTGATTTATTGATTAGTTCCTGCTCGTAGGTCAGCTTGCTTCAAGTTTCTCCCCACTCCAGTCGGTCCTCCACTCAGCTGCCAAAGTGATCTTCCTAAATTATAGTTCTAACTATGTCACCTCTCCCCCTGCTCCAACCCCAATAAACTCCTGTGGCTCCCTATCACTTCCAAGACCAAATATAAAATTCTCTGGCATTCAAGGCCCTTCATAATCCAAACTCTTACATTCTCCTCACCCTCTTGTACTCTGCAATCCAGCGGCCCTGGCCTTCTCACTCTGCCTCACATAAGACACTCCATCTCTTGATTCCAGGCATTTTCACTGTCTGTCCTCGAATTCTCTGCCTCCTACCTTCCTTGACTTCTTCACTTCCCAGCTTAAAGTCCTCCTTCTACAAGAAGCCTTTCTTATTCCCCCTTAATGCTTCCTTGCGCTGATTATCTCCAATGAGTTCTGTATTTAGCTTGTTTGTACATAGTTGTTTGTATGTTGTCTCCCCAATAGACTCTAAATTCCTAGAGAAGGGACTGTCTTTTGCTTTTTTTTGTATCCCTGGAGCTTAGCACGGTGCCTGGCACATAGTAGTTGCTTAATAAATAATTATTGACTAACTGACTTACTCTTTCTGTTTTTCTTGGTTAATCAAACATTATGCTGTGTCATTTGATTATGTATGTTGTACACTGAATCTATTAACCATACCAAATTATTTGGAAGATTATTGCTTTGTAGTATAATTTGATATCTAGTACTGCTAGGCCTCCTTTCCTACTTGCATATGAATTTAATTATTTTTTTCTAGATCTATAAAGTTATCCTTTGGTAGTTTGATTGGTATGGCACTGAGTAAGTTAATTTAGAAATAATTGTCATCTTAACTATATTTGTTCAACCTATCCATAAGCAATTAACATTTCTCTAATTATTTTATATTTGTCTTTATCTCAATAAAGTGTTTTGTAGTTAAATTCATAGAGTTCCTAGGTAAGTCTTGGTGGACTCAGAAACACTTTATACCTTCTGGAATTTATCTTTCTATATCTTTCCTACTGGGTTTCGTTAGGAATATAAAGGAATGCCAATGAATTATGTTTGATTTATTTTATATCTCACAACTCTGATGAATTTATTAACTGTTTCAATTAGTTTTAGTTGAGTCTTTAGGACTTTCTAAGTGAATCATCATCTAATTGGCAAAATAAAATAATCCTTCCTTTTTGCTTATTTTTATTCTCTCAATTTCTCTTTCTTGTCTTATAGCAATAGCTAGCATTTCTAACACTAATGTTAAGTAGTACTGGTGATAACAGGCATCCTTGCTTGCTCCTAATCTTCCTGGAAAAGCCACTAAATTTTTTGTATTATATATAATATTTGCTCTGGGTTTTAGGAAAATATTACTATATTGGGGGAAAGTCCATTTATTCTTATATTTTCTAGTGCATTTTAACAGAAACAATTAGACAATTTTGTCAAATTGAAACAATAATGTCAAAAGCGTTTTCAGCACCTATGAATATAATCATATAGTTGTTATTACTTATGTGATTCATATGGCTTATTACATTGAAAGACTTCTTTTTATTGAACCAGCGATGAATTTTTGGTACAAATCCAACCTGGTCTTTTGATTTTCAGAATTTCAACTCTGTTTAGTTGGGCATTTTTTCATTTGTTGTTATTCTAGTTATTTTTACTTATATGCTCAATTCATTGCTCTATTTGTTACTTCTTTTGTTGATAAAAGTGTTTTGTTAACAAAAATATTTAGAGATATGTTTTCCACTAAAGACTGCTTTAGCTTCATCCCATAAATTTTGGCATGCTGTTTGATTAATGTAATTTTCTTTGATAAAAATTTCTATTGTTTATATACTTTGTTCAAGGTAAAGAAATTGTGGGCCCCAAGGGTCCCCAAAGAGAAGGGTAGAGCCATTTCCAAAGCTTTTAGCCCCACTCGAGTCCATCCTTTTCACTCTCAGGGGACAATCATCTATGCTACCATTCTATAAGGCCAAATAAGAGTTTCTGCATCACCCTGCAAAGGAAATGTCCCTTACCAAAGAGCCAGACAGCAAGCCCACCTTCTTCATGGAAGGGATTCTTTTCTAGAAAGAAAAAAGGTCCATGCCTGTAATTTTGTCAAGTGGACTCAATTGATCAGGAATACGCTCATTTACCACCTGCCACACATATAAATACTTTGAGCCTAAGTTCTTCATGAAAACACAAATATCTCAAACAATAATCAGATACACTGTGGCAGATAGTACACAAATAATCTGAATACATATATATAATCCAAAGTATCTGTGTGGCATTCTCTTTTATAGAACTTACCTTAGAAAGAGTCTCCATTTCTCTACCATTAAAGATCACACTACTACTAGATTCTATGTTTGTGAAGGGTTCCACATAATCACCGCAAGATCCACAGTATCGAGCATTTGGATAATTGCTAGCTCCGCATTTAGTGCAAATGGAAGAGCCAGCAGGAACAGTAGACTAGAAAACAGAAGATATTTCTTATTTCAGTGACAATTTCAAGGATCTGTGATTTCATCAGTATGGTCTTCCTTCTGCCAATGCAAACCACAACCCCTCTGCAACATCAATAAATGGTTTCATGAGAGCTGTCATGCAGAAAAAAATTCATTATCTTGCAACCAATGTGATGATGATGGTCCTTAGACAGGGAAAGAGAGAGGGGAAGAACAAGAACAAGAAGAAGAAGAATGAGAAGAAGAACAAGAAGGAGGAGGAGGAGAAGAACAAGAAGAAGAATGAGAACAAGAACAAGAACAAGAAGGAGGGAAGAGGAGGAGAAAAGGAGAGAGGATAAGAGATGGAAAGGACCACTGAGCCTTAAGGACTTGCCAGAGTTTGTGCTCTGCTAGTATCATCTTCAAGAGCACAGGGTCATCGCTATACCTGGAGGAGGTACCATAATAGACTAGGACTTTAGTCAAAGTGACCCAGGGTTCCCAATGGCTGTATCAATAGAACACATATTCTGACAGTGACTACCAGAGTCATGTGGCAGTGATTTAGTGACTATAAATGCAATTAATAAGGCAGTTCTTTATTTTCTGAAATAAAAAAAAAATTATCCCTAACTTTAGATTCATTGAGAACGCTGGGCAAATATATATATATATATATACACACACACACACATATACATATACATATGTTATATATATACACACACATATACATATACATATGTTATACACACACACACACACACATAAAACATAAACTGCAGAGCAGAAACACTGAATCTGTTAGCGTCAGCTTCGAGAAGATCAGGGCTAAAGAAGTCTGGGCTGAATGTACATACCTTAGCTCCACACCAGTCACAAAAACGTGCATCACAACGATTCCTACGGCCACATTTTGAACAGGAAATGGTTGCTGCCTTCTGATTGATAAGAGGTGAGGTTACTTCTCCAGTGAATATTGGCTAGTGAAACAAAACTATTTTTAAGGAAGAGAAACAGCATTTTCTCGATTCTCCCTCTCCCCAACTAAACAACCAAAAGCAAGCAACTATAACACTTAGTGGAGCAATACAGCAAAGCTAAAGAATACATCACTGAAATATTTCTGGCCAGTAAATAAAATGGGTTTTAATGTTATCTATATAGGACAGACTATTCCTGGGCCCTCTTTTGCGGAAGGGCAACAGGTATACCTGTAGTATGCTTACACAAGGAAATTAATTCTAATAAGCATGATACTTGGAATAATTATGACTAGGTTATAAAATAATTAATGGAAGATAACCTGAGGCCCTAAATTGGTCCCATTGGTATGGGACTCTCTCCTCATTGGCAGAGATCAATGCCTTGGGCCTGAGTGAGAGGCAGGGTGGTAGAATTGGTGAGGATGGGAGAGAAGAGAGATTTAGATAGTCTTCAATGGAGGGGAGGGACATTCTAATCTCTCTTCAAAGTTATGAAGGGAGAAAGACTCTGGGAAGAAACTGAAATGTAGAACATCAATCATGTCCTCATTCTTAGAGACTTCAAGGAATTTCCCTTGGGTGAGGTATGGGATTCTCTCTATTAGTTGAGTTTAGTTAACTCACTCCCAATGGGAGAGCTCCTTCAATCTATATGGTCTGGTATATATTCTCATATGTAGACTTTCTCTGATTTCCGGATAAACAGATTTCCTTGCTATTTGCTATATGTGTTCACTGTGGAACCTGTATTTGAGGGGAAGGGAGTCAAGCCTTGGATAAAAAGCTTGGAGTTACTTTTCCCCATTAATGACTAGTGATCAGGAGTTTAGCTTGAACTTGAAAACTACTTCCTTTAAACTTAATAATCTGTTAGGGAGCAAAGAGATATAACTCTACCTTGGTACTCCTTTCTGAGGAGAGCAGAGTGGCTGGCCTCTGGTCCCACCTCCTGCTTCCCCTCCTGGAAGGAATTAAGGCCTCCCTTGGAGAAGGTTGGGAGGAGGAGAGAGGCTAGAGATATCTATTCTTGATTCCCTTGGGGCCATATACAACTCCCTTTGCTATAGATATTTTTATGTTTATTTGTACACTCAGGGTGATTAGCAGGCTCTGTATTCTTTTTTTTTTTTTTAACTGGCAAGAAGATATAGTGGGCATACACAATCAACGAAAAAACCAGGACTTAGTTTCCCATAGTGTTTCAAGACCAGAAAGCATTTCTCATCAGCAGAAATTCCCTAGACTACATTTTCCTAGAAAGGGGCATGTCGGGTCATATAGAAAAAGGCCAATAGATAAGGACCCTGATAAGGAGTATTTTGTAAGACTGAAAAGTTTCCCAAAAAGTGGGATGCCCAGAGCTGAGGGGGTTAGAGGATATAGAAAAGGAAAAGCAAACCACATGTTACATTCAGAGTGGAGGACAGAAGGAGAACGTGTAGAGTGATGATACCATGGCATCCCCCATACCCAGAAGTCCTGGTGGTATCTTGATACCCCAGAGTCTAACCAAGAGGCTTCATAGATCTCCAGCCTAATCTGATAGACTTCCTGAAAAGAAAGGGAGACTGACAGTTTTCTCACCCAGTCTGCCCACATGTCAAGATTCGGTTTCCCCACCTAATCAAAAGTTTTTCTCACAAGATCTCTCTCATCCAATCCCTTTGTGGAAGTATAGGAGACTATAATCATTTGTGCATGAGAAGTTGATGGTTTTACTATTTGATTCCCTACTTATATATTTTTAAAAGTCTTAATTACATGTTTTCTCAGGCTCTTGTATTTTTTTTTAATGTGTCTTATGTAGTCTGGTAGTAGAATTGCACTAAAAGGGCCTTATGTTGTTAGTTGCAAGACTGATAACCCAAATAGCTACACTAAATTTGGGATAGAAATGGGATTCCTGAGGCATTTGGGACTTATGCTATGTGTTTCTGTAACCCATATCTCTTGCTTACTCTAGGTCAGACAATGAAAATGCACATAGAAAAAACAAGTCTTTACTGTTCCCAAAATACAAATCTGTTAATAGATTTTTATTTTTTTTTTGTTTTAGGCAATTGGGGTTAACTGACTTGCCTAAGATCACACAGCTAGTATGTGTCAAGTGTTTGGTCTGAGGCTAGATTTGAACTGAGGTCCTCCTGACTTCAGGGCTGGTGCTCTATCCACTGTACCACCTAGCTGCCTCTGCTAATAGGTTTTGTTTTTTTTTTGCTAGGCAATGGGGTTAAGTGACTTGCCCAGGGTCACACAGCTAGCTAAGTGTGAAGTGTCTGAGGCCGGATTTGAACTCAGGTCTTCCTGATTCCAGGGCTGATGCTTTATCCACTGCACCACCTAGCTGCCCCTGCTAATAGGTTTTTAAAAGAGGTATATTGGCTCTAGTGCAGATGCTAGTGCCAATATAAATATTTCTGAATATGTGGACAAGTTAAAAAATCTCTGGAAGAAATTTTCTGTACACCAGGGTACCACTTAATTATTTTATGCATTAAATGATATCCTAAAAGAAGTTAATGGCTAGGCTATTTGTTCACTTAGGAACATTCTGTGTTACCACAGAGTCTGGCTCAGAAAAGATGGTATAGGAATTTAAATCCTACTAGCCCACTTTGTAACTCTGACACTGACAACTTGACAGAAGTAATCTGAAAGGCAATATGTTTACCGACTTGGCCAACCAGCTCTTGTGTCTCCTAGACATGATAAAGGAAACTTTCTCACAGTGAGTAGTGAGGATATTTTTGCAGGGGTTGGGATAGATAGCAGAAAACACCTTTGCAAAGTTTATGTTTGGCCCTAGAATTTTAATTCATGTATCAAACAAAAATCTTTTGAAACTTCCTTAAAAAAAAAAGGAAAATAAGTCACTTTATCCTATCATATTAAATAGAGATGTCAGACTGAGTAGCAAATTTTGCTAAGACATATCAATACTAAATACTGCTACAGAGAAATTTGTAATTTATTCAGCATTTATCATCTTGATAAAAAAATTCAGTTTTAGAAATCCTGTTAAAGCAGTTTTGCCATCATTCATGAGCAGAGCTGGGCTTATGTACAGGTTATGAGGTTAATAGAAAGTGATGTAAATTTTGGGTGTAGGAAGGAATATAAATTTTAAGTATTTATTATCTGTGTAGGACAGATCACATAGTCTGTGATCACATAGCTTGAGGCAAGAATGGACTTCTGATTGGTAATTCATTTGCCTCTATTAATAAACCCTATGATGAAGATGATGATTCCATTTTATGGAATATGACTATGATAAAGACATGCAACATTTTTTTATTTGTACTGCTTTCCAATCATAGTATTTCTCTTATTTCTTGGAAAATAGCATTTTTCTAAGGCATAATGATGAGTTGATTTTTTTAATCTGTAAAAGTTATTTTAAAAATCACTAAAATATCATCATAAACATAAATTCACCCACTGATATTATGGTTTATGATTTTAATCTCAACTTGAAAAATCCACATTACAGAGTAGATTCATGAAAATACAACACATGAGTTGTGTTTACATGACCATGTAAGTTATTTCCCCAAATGATCAATTTATTAAATATAATCAGTCAGTTCAGCCAATCAGTATTTGATTTCTTAACTACTTTGACCATTACAGATCCATACTATAATTCTGTGAGGCAATTGTAAAATAGCTTCTTGTGGATTATTTTCAGAGAATAGAACTTACTCTAAATATGGCCAACAATTGATAAAGATCTTTAAAAGAGAACAAGCTTGTCTTATAATATTGGCTGCCATTCTAGTTATTTGGCAGTAATGTCAGTAAAGGGGAACATTGAAAAGGTAAATTCCTAAGTCTTCTTTGAACAGAAAACCAGTATAAACTAGAAAAAGCTTACTTTGTAAATGCCCATATCCATTGCAATCCAATATATACTACTCCTAGCTTCTTAGCACAGGACCTGCAAAAAAGATAACCTGATGCTATGTTCTCTGTATGTAAGAAGATCTTGGAGACTTCCCACAAGGGAAGAAATGCCCTAGTGTCTATCTACTTGAGCCACTGAGGAGTCATTGAGACTGCGACTGAAAGGTGAGCCTCTCTCCCATTCTTAAAAGATAGAGAAAGGCAGAAACTTCATGAAAAGAGACTCAAGAAAATATAGGCACAAACAGGCTGGAGGTGTGGGCACAAAACCATGTCCACCTTTGCTTGTACTATGCCAGACAAGAGAGCAGGCAGCACTGGGGCCCCAGCAGTATTGGGACAATATGAATGAAAAAAACTGGACAGACTCAATCACTATGGAAACAGAAGCAAGAGCTGCAGCAATGTGGTCACCTACACTGGACCCTGAGAGGGGTCTGTCTTGAGGTTTGAGACAAGTCTGAGGCTTGTCTGGGCAGATCTTGGTTTTGTTGAAATTGCCCAGGTAGGCAGATATAAGATGATGATTCCATTTTCCCTCTCACTACTCAGGGAGAACATGTGTTTATTCCAAAAGCTTAGCTGTGTTTCTTTAAAGTTTTTTTGCATGCCTGTTCACCTAGTCCTTAAAGCTGGTGTTAAAAGAAAGTTGTGGTTAACCATTGCATTACTCATCTGTATTTTCTTTGCTTAAAGGCAGCTGAGGAAGAGGTAGTAAAGCACAGAGGGAGAGGCACACAGGGAGAGAGAAATAAAATGTATTACTACTGAGACCTTCCCTAGGGAAAAAATGGGGGCTTGATGTTGAATAAAAGATATTTTATTGAATCTTATTTTTATAACTGCCCCAAAGTGGAGAACAATATGGATCCAATCTACTCATAGACAACTGAGTTTAGCAGCCTTTCGTTGGGGGGCGGGGGGAAGGGAAAGGTTGTGAGTGGGTTCTAGTTTTGCTGAGATGGTCTACTCAGGTAATTCTTCTTCCCATTGTTTTCCCATGCTAGGCTTGAAAGGAAAACATTTTTTTCCCAGGGGAGCTTATTAGAAAAGAAAGTCATGTCTGAAGGAAGGAGTTCAGAGAATAGCACTACTCACACAAGGGTGGGACCAGCAAAAGTCAAGTTCTCTAAATGTGGTCACACCCCAAAACTCTTCTGGATCCTCTTAGCTTTTCTTTATATATTCTCTCATTTGATGATGTCATCAGCTCCTAAATTCTATTATCATCTCTATGAAGATAACTCTCAGATCTCTCTCAATCTCTCTCTTGCTCTTTCTTTCTCTGTCTCTCTCTCTCCTCTCTGTATCTTTCTGTCTCTCTGTCTGTATGTAGATATCTATCTGCATATAGAGATCTATCTTTGTGTACACAGACATACACACATAACATACACCCAGACCTAGTCTCTTTCCTGAGCATGTTGGACATTTCAAACCACATATTCCGTCAGAACCTCACACTCAACATGTCCAAATCAGAACTCATTATATTTTCACCCACCCCTGTCTTTCCAAACTTTCTACTTCTGTCAACGGTATCACCTTCTGATCACTTAGGTTCCCAACTCCAGTGTCACCCTCAATTCCTCATTCTCACTATCCTCACATATCCAATCAGTTACCAAATTTTGTTCCCATCTCCTCAACTTCTCTTATATATGTATGTTGCCTTTTCTCTATTCACACAACCACCACCTTAGTTCAGGACCTTATCACCTCTGGCCCGCACTAGTACTGCAGCATCCTAATTTGCTTCCCTGTCTCAAGTCTCTTCCATCTCTAATCCATCTTTCACCAAGTTGTCAAAATGATTTTCCTAAAGCACAAATCTCATCATTCTTTGATGTTTATAGCTGGCTGGGCCTCAGTATTGACAAATGGATGACAATATAAGCACTAAACAACCTTACAGGATCCCACCCACCGCCATGCTTTTGAGAAGGAATTCATCAAGTGTGCGCACAGAATTGGTAGAATGCTTGGGAATCATCATTGAGCAGAAAGAGAAGCTAATGAAGGAAGGGAAGTACACTCCCCCAGATGACCACTCAGGCAAGGAAGAGCTGAGGCCTTAAGCAGCCTGTGGTCAAGCAGCTTTACTCTTTATGCTGGGATGAAAATGTGGCCTGTTGTCCACCAGAAACATATATTTTCTAAAATAGACACCTCCTTCTGAAGGTTAAAAATCAGAGAAGAGAAGCCATCCTTTTTCCTACCCCCTTGTTGTCTCTGTACTTTGCCATCAGAACAACCAAACCAGGCAAATTGATGGCAATGGTTCATCTTCTAATATAAGATCTGTGATTCTTCCTGTCTCTGAAAACAAGCATTTTGGAAAGTAAACATTTGCCAGTGTAGAGATAAAAATTAAAAAAAACTACTCCCTTGGTTCAGTAAACTTCAGTGGCCTTTGAGGATCAAAACTCCTCTTTGGGATATTTAAAGCTCTTCACATCCTGGACCCTTGATATATTTCTGGTCTTCTTATCTAGGATACTCTCTTTGTGTACTCTGTGGGCACAACCAGCCAAACTAGTAGTTCTGCTTTTCCTCACACAAGATGCCCCATCTCTTGGCTTGGTACCTTTCCACTGGCTGTTCCTCATGCATGGAAGGCTATTCCTCCTCATCTCCACCTCTTCCTTCAAGGCTCAATTCGAATTCCTCCTTTTCCAAGAGGTCTTCCCCTAAAATTTCCTTGTATCTACTGTGTACATAACTTGTGTTTATGTGTTCTTTCCCCTATTAGAATGAAAGTTCCTTGAGGACAGGCTTCTTTTGATTTTCTCTACACCCTTAGTGCTTGGCACAATGTCTAGAACATAGTAAGTACTTAATGCTTGTTGATGGACTGATTGACTGATGATGGCTCCTTGGGCCTGCTCCTCTTTGCCATATGACTTCAGACGACTAATGCTAACTTTATTCTTCCACTGCTGGTTTCTTTAGCTGCTGCCAGGGATCACTCTCCTTGGAGTCACTTCTCCTAATTCTCTGCTCAGTGCTGGGTTTGGTGTCTAACACAGGGAGAATAGCTCCAAATCAAAAGGCCATGGCTAATGTAGGGTAAAGGGAAAAAGAGAATTCCCCTTCCAACCCTTACTGTTCTCTGGAGAGGCACAAGGGCAAAGAGCAATCCCTTCTCAAGAGGTAGGCTTTTCCTCCATAGCTGACTCTCCTTTGTGAAATTAGATGTCCCTGGATTTATTTGGGGGAGAGGGGAAAGTCTTCTAGTCTTAACCTAGTAGTACAATTCCCTCTGCTTCCTTAACATCAGGGGAGATTGTGTTAAAACTTTACTCATCACGACAATCCAATTTTGAGATCAGTATAATCTGAAGCAAGCTTGAGTCAGTTATGTATTCAACCTACCACATGTGTTTCAGGCAGGCGACTCTCACAGGTAACACAGTGCTTCAAGGGAGCAGGGTTTCCAGTTCCACAAAAACGGCAGATTCCCTTACCCTTAGAAATAAAGGATGATGTACTGCTTTAGGCAAACAACTCAACAAAATAATAATCCAGGCCCTCAAACAGTGTCAGTCATTAGATCTCTAAACAAGTTTTTTTAGAAAATAAGCCAGGAACTATGCCCAAAGGGCTATAAAATTGTGCATATCTTTTAATTCACCAATACCACTACTCGGTCTGTATCTGAGAGAGATCATAAAAATGGGAAAAGGACCCAAATGTACAAACATATTGATAAGGAGCTCTTTTTGTGGTGGCAAAGAATTGGAAATTGAGGGGATGTCCACCAATTGGGGAATGGCTGAACAAGTTGTGGTATATGAATATAATGGAATACTATTGTGCCATAAGAAATGATGAGCAGGCAGTAGCTTCCTCAAATAGTGATATTTGGCAACTTCTTTTAGATGAAATCTTTCAAATTTGCTTTAAGAAGTCTGTCATTGGCTCCCAATACCATGAATGCCCAATTAGATGCTAATAGTAAAAGGAAAAATTAGTAGAAAGAATGCTTAGAATACAATGCTTTTTTTTTTAAACCAGGTTTGGGAAGATAAGGCTTCAGACTTGCCAGGTGACCCTCTGGCAATGTCTTTGAACATTAGGAAGGAAAAAATATATCAATCTACTTAAGGAGTATATCTGATTCCTTCAGTAAATGGCAGCTTGGCATAAAGGACAGAAAGCCAGCTTCATATCCAGAAAGAGGATTCAAATCCCACCCATATTGACAGAGCCTGGCTGGGTAACCAAGTCACTTAACCTCTATAAGGTATACTTTCTTCATCTATAAAATTTAATATTAAGAGCACTTAACTTACAGGGTTGCTGTGAGGATCAAATGAGAAAACAGATGTAAATAGATGTTAGCTATTTTTATTAATAACAAATGGCAAACGCTATTGCTCATGATAGCAATAAGAAAAGAGAAGTCGAGTTAATGTCACAAACTATGGCAAAGAAGAAACAAAACTATATCTATCTGCTGATAACATGAAGCAGCAAAGAACTGAGACAATTATCAGGTTTAGTAGAGAAGCAAGTTACAAAATAAACCCACAAAAATCAATAGCGTTTCTATATAGCAGTACCAAAACCCAGAAGGAAATATTAGAAAAGGAAGACTCATTTTAAATAATTGTGAAATACATAAAATCTCTGGGAGTCAGTCTAACAATGCACACAAAACCTGAATAGATACTATTATAAAATACTCCTTAATGAAATAAAGAATTATTTAAATAATTGGAAGCATATTCACTGTTCATGGTTAAGCTATGCCAATATAATAAATAAAACAATGATATTATTTAAATTAACTTATAGATTTAGTGCTATAACAATCAGTCTACCAAGGGGATGCATTACAGAGCTAGATAAAAAATAACAAGTCATTTAAAGGAAGGTCTAGAATCTCAAGGGAGATTTTTTTTAAAAAAATCAAGCCACCAAGGGGATACCTCATGGAACTAGATAAAATGATAATAGAATTAATTCAAAGGAACAAAAGACTTAGAATCTCAAGGGAAATCTTGAAAAAAAAGAGTATAAGTTAAGGAATTCTAGACCTCAAATTATATTACAAAACAATAATCACCAAAGTTATTTGGTACTGATTTTTTAAAAGTGACAGATTAAATAAGTATGCACCAGAAACAACAGAAGCAACAACCCCATAACAAACCTAGGAACATAAATTAATTGGGGGAAAAACTACTCCCAATTTTATGAGAACTTCTAGGAAAACTGGAAAGATATTAGGCAGGAATTAAGTTTAGACCACCATCTTATACAATATGTAACAATAAATTTAAAACAGTTATGTGACAGAATATCAAAGATCATGCCATAAAATAAACCAGAAGAGAACCAGATCAAATCTATTATGGCTAGGAGATGAATTCTCAACCACACAAGAGACAGAATTGATCACAAAAGATAAAAAAAGATCTTTTCAATTACATGAAATTAAAGAGGCTTTGCATTTATAAAATCAAAGCAACTATGTTAAAAAGGAAGGGGGTCAACTGGGAAAAAATCTTTGCACCAAAATTTTCTTAAAACAGAATAACTCATATTTTTCAGGACTAGACATATCTGTCTAACTTAGAAAATCCACTACTGGGTGCATACTTCAGGGAGGTCAAAGACAGAATGGAATGGATTACATATATATATATAATTCATAGCAGCACTTTTTGTAGTAACAAAATACTGGAAATAAAGTGAGTATTGTTTCTCATTGGTAACTAGTCTTGTTTTGGAACCAAAAGAATGTTTTTCGGTAAGAAGAGGTTGTTTTACAACAATCTCCTTATTTTAGTCACCACTTGAAATTAAAGGGGATACAAGACCGATCTCTAACTACCTAACAGTAATAGACATAATTGCACGTCTAGAAGAAAACTATGTTTCATTTTTTACTAGGATTTACAGGTCAGGTGATTAACTATGACTGTATCCTTTGCCTATAGAAATACAGATACATCTATGTATACATATAGGGCATCTAGGTGGTGCTGTGGCTAAAGTGCTGAGTCTGAAGTCAGAAAGTGCTGAATTCAAATCTGACCTCAGACACTTATTAGCTGTGTGACCCTGGGCAAGTCATTTCACCCAAACAGTGAAGTTCGGTGACCAAAGTCACTGTTTGCCTCAGTTTTCTCATCTGTAAAATGAGCTGGAGAAGGAAATGGTAAACCACTCCAGTATCTTTGCCAAAGGAACCCCAAATGGGACACAAAGAGTCAGACACTACTGAAAATGACTGAACAACAATAATGTATATGTATAGATATATCAGTAAGTTGACAAGCATTTATTAAGATCCTACTGTTTCAGGTCTTTACATGCTGGGAAAACAATGAGATGAATGAAATAGTCCCTGCTCCCGAGGAACTGATAGTCTTTCTTTCTCTCTTCTCCATTTATCCATCTGTCTGTGTATGTCCAGATCTGTGGTTTCATTCACACCCTCCATCGATGAAGATTGGCAACTTGTTTGCAACTTAAAGTCTTAGAAACTTGCCTGGAATACTGAGAAATTAGCTGACTTGCCCGTGGTCACACAGCTAGTATGAATCAGAGGCAAGACCTGAATCCAAGTCTTCCTGACTCTAAGACAGGCCTTTTATCCACTATATCAGATTCTATGATACTCTTCCTCTCTGATGGTAATTGTCTACACTCTTTGTGTATGGTAGCAATTGATAATCAAAGCAAACAGAAGCTTAAGAATAGTTTAAGTAAAAGCTGGGGTCCATCTCTAGTCATTCTGATCTATATCTGGCCACTGGACTCACATGGCTCTGGAGGAGAAAGTGAGGCTGGTGATCTTGCACAGCCCTCTTCACATAAATCAAATTCACTTACAAGTCATGGCATCATCTTCCTGATGTCATGGTCCTCTTTGAGAACAAAGGACAAACAACAACAAATAAAAGCCATAGTAATAAAAATAAATAAAAATAAGTCATAATGTTCAAATTTTTGATCAAATTATAGTTTATCAAAATATCAAATTTGTTGAGTAAAGCCAAAATTTTCCTAAAGCTTAGAGCAATGTAAAATTCAGTTATAATGACTTTGAGTTGGAAACTTATATTTAATAATTTTACAGAAGGAACTTTTGTGTACCTATCTCTTGTGCACACAGATCCTGTTGGCAGGCTACTTTGTACAACATGGCTATCCATGAATAAAAATATCTTTAATCATAGATACTATTTAATAAGTATTACATATGATCAAGGACTTAACTGTGGCAATAGTTTAATTAACCAAGCATATAACCTATATCAAAATCTATATTCTACTATTCAAAATATTGCTTTCAATAGCTTTAATTCATAATTTAATTTGCATTACCTTTAAATGAATGTTTGCTTGGGGCTGTAGCTGTGGAGCAAGAGGGGCCTCACACACAACACATACAGGAGTGTTCACTGGTACTATGGTTCTGCATTCAATGCACATCCCCATCTGTATAAAAGTGATAGGTACCTTTTATTTTGAAAAAAAAAAATTAACTGAAAGGGAAAGCAGACTTTAGTATGTAAAATAAACTTCCAGGTAATACTGAACTATAGAGAAAGTCACAGGTAAATGAAAGGATTTCACAAGGCCTAAAATTAATCCAAATTCTTTAAGTGGCTGTGCAGCAACAGTAAGTCAATACACTTATTTGAATATGTATCTTGAAATTTTCAAATAAAGGCGTCATTGTGATTATTTTAGTTGTTTCAGTTTCTTCTGTAAAATGAAGAATAAGACAGACTTACTGTCTCCCTCCCCCAGTGCCAAATAAGGAAGAAAGGCAACAATCCCAGCTTACCTCTTGAAATCTATTTGCAAAGACAAACTATTCTATACATTTTTCATGATCAAGTTTCCTGTATCAAAGAGAAAACTTCATTCTTGCCTTAGCATTTTCAACATCTAGGTTCATAGTTTATTAATAATAACAATTTCTTCTTAAAAAGAGAGAAATATCTTGTTGGTCAAAGACCAACTAATTAGTCTGAAAGTTTCCTCTTTAATCCCAGAAGCTCAAAAAGGATGACATCACTGCTGACTTGCTTTCTGTATTTCAACTATGACTTGGAAGAACCACATACAGCGTAGCTCTCTGTCATCCATTCTGTCTTTTCCTGAGACTATCAGCAAAGCTACCAATTTTGTTTGATAAGGATCTTGACCTAGGTTTCCCAATCCTTTTTCTTTTTTTTATTGCTGACAGACTTATAAATTTCTAAATTTTCCACAGAGAAGATAAGCCTTTGGAAAGAATACATTGAATTATGATAATGTAAAAAAGAGAAGGGGTTCAAGGATACAGCAATTTGGCTGTTAGAGTTTTGGGAATGGGCAAATGGGAATAGAAACAAGGAAGGAAGGAGTTGGGAAGTGTGTGTCTCATTGCTGATGCATTAGGAAGACAAAGATTAGATCTATATCAGCAAAATGGGGATAAAGGACAAAGAGTAGAATAAGCAAGGCATAGGAACAGTTTTGGACCTTGTAGTACAAAGCTGTTGTGTGAGAAGAGTTAGAAATGGGTCTGCCAGAAGTTCCTCTGGTTAGCACAACAGATCCTGAAGATGAACTGTTCTGATTTGGATTGGGTGGAAAACAGTGTACCAAACAAAACACTACAGAAGACTACATGAATAATTATGATACCTCTTATTTGTAAAATGCTTTAAGGTTTATATAATGCTTTCTTCCCAACACTATGAGGTTAAATAGTAAGTTTTATTATCCCCGTTATACAAAGGAAGAAATGGAGGCTTAAGAAAGCTGAAGTGACCTGGCCAAGTTACGATGCTTCAAGGTAAGCTTGAGGCAAATGTCTGAACCCTGGCCTTCTGACTCCATGTCAAGCACACCATGCTGCCTATTTCAAACTAACATCAATTTATTTTGCAAGAACCATGCAAAACTGAGAAACATTTAATTTTAATTTGGGCTGTACTAAACAGTGTACTGAAGCTGAGCGCTCCCTTGAACACAAATACGTACTGCAGGAAGAGATGAAGTTAATGGGTGTTCTCTAGATATGGAATTCTTCCTCCAACTTTACCTGCTGAAATTCTACCAATCTTTTCATAGCTATCATTAGAGAACTGGTTCCTACCCATTTTTCAAAAAGTTGCAAAAATGCCACCTATAACAGCTAACAATATTAATATTAACTAGCATTTATATAGCACATTAATGTTTGCAAATGCTTTACAAATATTATCTAATTTTATCTTCACAATAAGCCTGAAAAATTCTATTATTGTACCCATTTTCCAGATGAAACTGAGGTAGACAGAGGCTAAGTGACTTGCCCAGGCTCACATAGTAAGTATCTAAGGTCATATTTGAACGCAGGATTTCCTGCCTCCACTTTCAGCACTCTATCCACTGTGTCACTTGATGCTTTAATGTTTTATTTATTTATGGTTTTTTAAAATGTTTTAAAGTTTTGCAAAGCCCTTTATACATGTTACCTCATTTGATCCTTGTAACAATCCTGTGTTAGGTGCTATTGTTATCTCTGCTTTACAGATGAGGAAAACAGAGGCTAACAGAGATTAAGTAACTTGTCCAGGGTCACAAAGTTAGTATCTGATTCAGGATTTGAACTCAGGTCCTGCTGACTCCCAATCTAGCACTCTATCCATAAGTTGCCTTTATACTTTGAAGCTTTTTCGGGTTCTCTCAGTGGGAAATTATTCTCCTTTCCTCCAAAAATGCATATCACTTTGTACTTCTCACTCAATTATCATGTTTATTTCATATCATAGACATTTATTTCATTCTTGTCTTCTCTTATTAAAATATAGGCTCCTTGAGGACAGAGACCATTTATCCTTCTATGTCCCTGATAGCCTAGCATGGTGAATTGCTCAGAGCAGGCCATGAGGAGAGTTCTAGGGGGGGCAACTGGCTCTAGAGCCCTCTTTGCACTACCAATCTATTTTTATCAGTCTGTGAACTCCAAGAACTTTCCAGCTACTTCCTTAAGGAAATAATGTAATGAAGGGTAGTATAAAGTTATTTTAATTGGCTTCTGAGCCAGAACAAAAGATTTAGGCAGATGCTCTCTCTTATTCTTCCTTCGTGGCTTGTGAGTAAAGAAAATTATTGTGAGCTGTCATGAGAGGAAGGGGCAGAGGGGTCTCTCTCCCACCCAGCCACTGTGTCTATGAATGCATAGCACCTTTGTTTACTATGCCTGTTTTGTGTTTATTCTTTCTAGATCTTAGGTGAATGAGTATTTTAAGAGAAAAAAGCATGGTGTGCCTGCATCAAAGAAAGTGCTACGCTCTATAAACAAAGCAGAATTGCAGTAGCTCAAAAGAAACATGAGATGTGCAAATTCAGAGACATTTTTATCCCAAATGTTTATATGGACTATTTGAACCCAACGTGTGATAGAGCCTTCTGAGCTTGTATTAGTCTGATCAGTCATAGGTGGACATACTGTACATTGATTCCATCATTTCAAGCAACCCATGTGTCTTATGTGGAAACTGCCTCTATGCTGGTCAATCAGTTACTGTATTTCCTTATTCCTTTATTTGAATCCTATGTGAAATTTATGGACAATCAAGGGGAGTGAGCCATCCCTTTTTTTAGTTCTTCCCTCTGCTAGACAACTTAATAAACTTTTTTCTAAATTATTACAGTCTAGAGATCTTTTCTTCTCAGCTCATAACTGGGATCTTTGATGGTTGACCCAAGAGATTGGATTTGACCTAGATAGGATCACTCTGTACAGAGAAAACTGGAGGAATACCTCTGTGGTTCAAGCAGAACATAGTCAAATTGCACCTGGCCCCAGACAAGGTCTTAGGACTCAGGATTCTGGGTATCCAGAAAGCTAGGGGGCTGTGTACTATCTCAACCTGGAGAATTATTTAGGGAGGGTTAGAACTAGCCTAGCAAATGAGTAGTCCTTTTGGACTGATCAAGCAAGAGTTTTGAGGGAGTGGATCATCCATCATCTGTTAATCTGCACAGTCCTCTAGTAGATCGATCTCTCTCTTCCTCCTCCTCCTCCTTCTTCTCTTTTTCTTTCTGTAGTTCTCTTACCCTCCAGTGATTTTTAGAAAATAAACCAGATACACGGTCTGTGACTATCTACTGGCAGCAGCAGATGCAAGGACCATGGGACTAGATGGGTGGTAATCCTTTATTCATTTAGTTGATTAAGTGACCCTGATAAACTAGCTGCCTAACATCAGTCCTACATTCATTCACTTAAGATGACCCTTGATTAATGAGAGAGCTAGTATGTGTACTAGTCGAAATAAACTGTTGACCAGGGATGAGCTGTTCGTGGGCCAAGTGCTCATAGCCCAACAGTAGGAAATCTCTCTTTTTCTCTCTCTTCATCCTTCCTAAGAGCTTCTCTGGAAAATCTTTGTCTAGTGTCATATTTAGTGTTGTTTGTAGATTTATTGCCTTGGAAGATTTCTAAGGGGAAAATGCAGCTACAAAAATTGCAGAGTGAAAAGTCAGGGGAGCCAAGATGGCAGATTAGGGGCAGCCACCCAGCTAAATTCGCCCAATATTCCCCTCCAAACAACTTTAAAATAATGCTTCTAATCAAATTTGGAGTGACAGAGTCAATAAAAAGTCAGGATGAAAAATTTTTCTGGCCTAAGAAAACTTAAGAGGTAGGCAGGAGAAGTCTGTAACACTGAGGTGGAGGTCTAATGGAAGTTTGTCTGGAGCTCATATACTTGGTGGTAGCAACAGTGGTGACAGTAGCAGCTTCCAGCACTCTCAGCCCAGATATGGTGATGGGGTTGGACAATTGCTCAGAAAGAGATCACAGGTGACGCTTTACTTGTACTGGATGAAGCTATTACTTATTGGCAATTTTATTGCCCATACATGGTTCTAGGTCACAATTCCAGGGCCGAGAGGAAAACTGGTGGTCAGTCACAAGGGAGCCAGGGCTCTGGTAGCAGTACCAAGGTGGAGAGAAGCATTAGGACATGCAACAGCAGCCTTTCCTTGGTAAAGTCCAGAGCATAGACCGGGAGAGCAGTGACCACACCTCTCCCAGGAAAACGCATCTTGGAAGCACCAAAAACTTGGAGACCTCCAGCCTGTAAACAGCAATATGAAAAAGCCTAAAGCTTGGCACGATGTCTCCCCACCCCCAGGTAAGCAGAGCTCAACTTTAACATAAAGTTCAAAGTCAAGAAATAGGCTGGAAAAATGAATGAACAACAAAAAAAGAATCTGACCATAAAAAGCTACTACAGTGGCAGGAAAGACCAAGATATAAACTCTGAAGAAGACAACAATATGAAAACAGCTACCAAAAAAGCCTCAAAGAAAAATGCTAATTGGACCCAAGACCAACAAAAATTCCTGAAAGAGTTAAAGAGATAAGAATGATAAAGGAAAAAATAGGAAAAGAAATGAGAATGACACAATAAAATTATGAAAAGAGAATTAACAGCATGGTAAAAGAGGCACAAAAAGAAGAAAATAATGCCTTAAAAAATAAAATTGGCCTAATGGTAAAAGAGGCACAAGGATTCACTGAAGAAAAGAATTCCTTAAAAAGTCAAAGAGGTAAAATGGAAAAAGAGAACAAAATCTCAATGAAGAAAATAATTCCTTAAAAATTAGAATTGGGCAAGTGGAAGCTAATGATTCTGTTAGACATCAAGAAACACTAAGACAAAGTCAAAAGAATGAAAAAAATAGAAGAAAATGTGAAATATCTCATCAGAAAAACAACTGACCTGGAAATATATTGAGGAGAGATAATTTAAGAATTACTGGACTACTTGAAAGCCATAATCAAAGAAAGAGCCTAGACATCATATTTCAAGAAATTATCAAGGAAAACTGCCCTGATATCTTAGATCCAGATATCTTAGATCAAATAGAAGTGAAAGAATCCACCAATTACTTCCTAAAATAGAACCCAAAATGAAAACTCCCAGGAATATAAAAGCCAAATTTCAGAGCTGCCATGTCATAAAGGAAATATTGCAAGCAGCCAGAAAGAAACAATTCAAATATTGTGGAGCCACAGTTAGGATCACACAAGATTCAATGGCTTCGACATTAAAGGGGCAGAGGTTGTAGAATATGACATTCCAGAAGGCAAAGGACCTAGGATTACAACCAAGAATCACCAACCCAGCAAAAGTGAGTGTAATCCTTCAGGGGAAAATATGGTTCTTTCATTAAATAGAGGACTTAAAAGTATTCCTGAGGAAAAGACACTTAGCCAGTGGAGATGACACTTGCCTTGCTCATCCTGTGACCACACATAGTGATGCATCATTTCTGATTCTCCTGGAGGGTCAAGAGCAAGTTCTATCAACCAATGAAACTATATTTTCCTTTGCCTCTTATGTGTATCTGGGTATCAAGTACTACAAAAGTAAGGCCCTGGGTAAGGGGGCATGTCAGATCATGAGGAAGATCTGAGGTCAACTTCATTAGAGGGGACCATGGACCCTTCAATAAAGTGCTATTGGCTTGGAGCTCTGCCTCAGTTTCTTTTACTGTAAATTGGACAATTTTGGACCACACACCTTCAAATGTTTCTATTAAGAACAATGACAAAAAGACAAGTACAAAGTTATCTCCCTAAGGTTTGAACTGGTTTTCACTGCTTGAACTAGTTAATGAAAAACCAAATTTAAGAGGAACACCCTTCTACAACTGCCTTGGGAACGAGGCCTGTTCCAGAATTTCCAAGGGAAAATGTTTCTAAGCATCAGATGGCTAAATGAGACAGCTAACACCCAAGATGAAATGTTATTCAAAGGTAGTTTAATCTATAACCTGACTTAGTTTACCTATAGAATCTGTTTAACTAGATTTGTTCCTTAAGGGATGTGTGAGATTATAACTTTGCTTAACTAAGTTTGTTCAACTTTATTGACATTGAAGGAAACATGGGGTTGTGAATCTATTTTTTTTTAAACTTTTTATGAAATTTGTGACTATATGTGTTCTTTCAATTTCTAAGAATTCTACATGTATTAGGTGGGGCACTTGTTTCCTGGTACAAGTCTAAGTCTGACTTATGGCCTCTAATGCTTACCCAGTTTCTTCTCTCTGACTATCAGTTGCCACCAATCTAGTCCCTATCACACTTTAAAGGAGTTCTATCAAGCTCTTAATAAGATGAGCAGTGATGGAGATGCCTCTGCTGACTGGTTATTTTAAACTTTAACCTAGCTATTTGTTTCTGTAATTGCACTTCTGCTAGTATAGGAAAGGTGGGGTGGAATTCTGGGAAAACTTTATGGCATTTTTTGAATCTAGAAACCAGATATGTTACTTACAGATTATATTTGGTTAATATTTAACTCAGGATGGAGGTTATGCTGAGCAGAAACAGTCAGATCTGAAGATACATGCATATCAAGCAACCCACACATCTTATCTGGAAACTACTTTCATGCTGGCCAATCAGCTACTGTTTCCTTGTTCCTTTGTTTGAATCCTTTATAATGTATAATTTACATTCATGGGGGAGTGAAAGGGGGAGAGTGAGCCACCCCTTTTTTGGCTCTCCCCTCTGATGGACAACTTAATAAACTTCTTTCTAAATTATTTTAGTTTAGGAATCTTTTGTTCTCAGCTAACAACTGAATATTGAAATATCCACTGAAAACTATAAAAATCACTGACCCAACATAGTCTAAGGCATATTTGAACAAATGTTGGAATGAGCAAGAACCAAAAAGAAATAAAAAAGTAGTCAAAATACTGAAAGGAAAAATAGGTCTTTTTTTTTAAGTCTAGAAAAGCTACTTCCAACATTCCTTAGGCATATATACTGTGAAAAGTTTTCATAGTACTCTTTACTGATGAAATACACCCCTAACAAAAAACGAAAGAAAGAAACCATAGGCATGGATTTAAAAAAAATAAGTGATTCATGGTGTTCTTCTGTCCTTAGGAAGAAAGCCTAGCAGGCATGTTTTTTATCCAAAAAGCTTTTTTTTTTTTTTAAATTGACATCTTAACCTCTAGATAAGCTTTTAAAAATTAAACCTGTATTGGAAGCACAGCTATTTTAATCACTTCTAAATGCCACTCAAATTTACTTAGGAGCTTAGTTAATACCTGATAGAAAATCAACAGCTAATTGACTTCATTTGATCAAAGTTCATTAACTTAATTTGTTTCGGACTGGTATATTATTACAAAATTATACATATCTTACAGTATGTATACTGACACAAGTGAAAATATTTGTGGTGGCAGTTTTTTGGTTTATCTTCATAAACCTTTTTAATCTAAGATAGTGGATTTTCTGCCTAAAACCAAATGTCAAATCTCTAAAAATATACAGGTGTATATATATATGTATATCTATACAAATATATATCAGTCAGGGATTTTATTTTTCCTCTTCCCTTCCCTTCTAGCCTACAGTGATAAAGAAACCTCATGGCCACTTAGGGTTACTCCTAGAACTCTGAGGGTGAGAAGGAGCCAGCCCTAACTAATAGCATGAGTGGGAGCTGGGCCAAGGACCCACTGAGGGCAAGGACTACTACCTTGCACACAATTGGTGCTTAATAAATGCACTTGGGATTGAGCTGAATGGGGCAAACTTCTGCAAGAGAAGGACTGCAGAGGAGAGGCTTCCTTATTTGGCACAGCATTCCTGAACAGAAAGAGAGATCCCGGGGTATTCTGGATACCTGGGGTATTCAAGATAAAGGTGCTATTTTTAGTTCAAATAGCAACTTTCTTTAAGAAGCTAAAAACAGAACAAAATCATGATCTCATTAGATCTGAAATAATCTCATACAGTAAACAGAAAGGCAGTGTATTTGGAGCACTGGACTTGGAGATAGGAAGACCTGGGTTTGAATTCTGACACCTCCTGGATGTGAACCTGGACAAGTCACTGGGCTTCTCTGGGCCTCAGTTTTTCCATCTGTAAATGGCGATAATAATAATTGCACCTGCCTCAGAGGATGGTGACCAAGATAGCAAAGCTACTCAAAGTCATATCATATGAGAAATGATGGAGAATGGTTAGCCTGAAGAACAGAAAACTTAAGGGAAAACATGAGAGATGTATGAAGGGCTGGATAAGCCCATGTGGAAGGGAGATTAGACAAATTTTGTATAGATCCAGAAGGGAGAACTAGTATTAACTGGAGGGAGCGAGACAGAAATTGTTTTCAGCATAACATAAGAAAAACCTACTTAATAACTAGAATGGTCCAAAACTGCATAGTAAAGTAGTGAGGTGTTCAGGCAGAAGCTAGAAGATTACTTGTCAGGGATGTTATAGAATAAATGCATGTATTAGATAAGAGGTTGGGGTAGATGACTTGTAAAGTGCCTTTCCAATTCTAAGCTTTTATGACCGCTGAATATTTTTCTTCATTATATTTATTTTATGAATTAAAAGCTACACTAAGCAGGAACATCTTCTCTTTCAGTAATATTATGATGAAGGATGCTTGAGACAAAATTGATATTTCAAATCTTTTCACCACCTAAGACCAACAAACAAACAGGAAAAAGAAATACCCAACATGCAATAAGAAACACGAACACTAAAATGGTTCCAAAAACAGGTTTTTCTAACCTAAAATATAAGAAAACTATAGTTTCTTAGTATTAAGTTATGTAGTTGGCTGATACTGTCTATAAAGGGTGAATAAATAAAAGATTGTTTTAGGTTTTCTCACCTGAGCACCTTCTGGGGGTGGAGGGCGTTGACCAAACACTGGTGGAACAGGAGTGCCACATTCTTGACAGAAAAGAGTGAAAGGGTCGCACAGGCGAGTACTTAAACAATTTGTACACCTAAAAAACAAGGGTTTGTTAATTGAATGTATCTTATCATTCAACGTTAAGAATATGAAAAAATAAGCAGCCATGGTCATAAGATACTTTTAAAATGTTTATGACTAAATCTATAACCTCTTCCAAGCTTTATAATTGTGCATTCAAAATAGATATAGGGAGATTAAGGTGTTCATTGGCCAAAACATCAGACCAAAGCACTGAGGCTTATATGCAAACAGATATATATAAAGAAGACAAGAATACGGACTAGTAGGATGGAGAACATTGACCTCACCTCCTTAATCTACCTTTCATTCTAACTCAAATTAATTTGTAGCTAAGCCACAGAGGATCTTGAGAATATGTAAGATTGCCCAAATCCATTAGATAGTAACCTGTAAGAAAAGTTTTTGATTTCTGCCCCAGATAGGAAAAAAAAAAGACCTAGACTGGAGGCATGATGCCTGGCTTTTGTTAGCTGGCTATGGTGGTTATAAGCAAAAAACTGTCAGGCAGTCCTTATTAGAGGAAGGTTCTAGCTACTATGTCCTAGCATGCTGAAGCCTGGCCTACCTTTAAGAGATAAGCCCACAAGACAGGATGAATGAGCAATGCCTAGGAGAGAGATGCTAAGATTAGCAGACAGCAACACCACTGGAGATTGCACAGTGAGACCATCAGGAGCCACATTCAGTGAAAAAGGTAGGGGGAAGATTAAGAGTACAAGTGGACTGAGTAGCCCTGGAGAAGAGAAAGGCCACCTCTTCACAGACTAAAGGAGGAGGGTTTTGAAATGCAGAACAGGTGAGAAGAGGGAGCTTGTAATAGATAGCAATTATATTCTTAGTTCAATAGGAGGGCCACCCGCACTCTGGCTGCTCTCTTCATCCCCACCAGAGTCTCTTTGTACCCTGGTCTTCAGTAGGTGAGCTTTCACCTTATTCTGCCCAGAACCAGGTCCCCTTGTCACTTTACAGCTATTTCCAGACCATGCCACTCTGGTATTCTCTACCCCCCTCTATTATATCATGGCCTCTTGTCCCTGAGACATTGGGTTCTGACAAGTGAGCTTTTTTGCCTTCCAGCCATTTTCAAATCACTTTGCTTAATGTGTATTCTCTCTTTCCCCTTCCAGTTTCCCTTTATGTACTGTCTTACTCTCTTAGAATACAAGTTTCTTGAGAGCAGGGATTGTTTTCTTACTTGTATTTGTATGCCCACTGCTTAGCATAATGCCCCCAGTCTAGATCTGGCATTATTTTTTTCCTATCTGGGGCAGAAATCAAAGACTTTTCTTACAGACAACTATCTAATGGATTTGGGCAATCTTACATATTCTCATAGTAAGTGCTTAATAAATTTTTTATCATTCATTAATTCATTCACAGCCTCTCTAGGCCTCAGTTTCCTAATATGTAAAATGAGCAATTGGCAAGTCTCATTGATTTTTTAGAAGCTCATGTCCATGGGTTCAGTGTCAAAGAAACAGTGATGGGTCCTGGTCTAGAAGCCACCACAAGCACCTGAAAACTTAATTTCTTCCCAATCAACCCACCCTGGGTCTGTCCATTCTGCCAGGATTCTTAGACCCATGTAGCATTGAAAATGAAGGTAGAGGTTTCATTCAACCCTATATCTATGAGGAGAGGAGATTGGACTACATGAGAAAATTGTAGAGTACATTCAATTTTCTGAAAAGTATTTAGTGCACTAAAGACCATCCTCTTAACTCCATTGTTTTCCAGCCATGATATGTGGCTACAAACTATGTCATACCACTGTCTCAGAAAAATTATCCTGTGTAATTCTTGCCTGTTTCTCTTTCCATAAATCCCATATTAGGAGATCATGGATCTAGAGAGGCCCACCCTTGGGTTATTTTCCTATGTATCACTCTAGCACTAAATGCTAGAGTCACATAGAACAAGGAGGTATGCTATCAATCAATTAAAAATCAATGAGTAAGAGCCTATGTACAACATACCAGACACTGTTCTAGAAATTGGGGATACAAATACAATAAATGAAACAATCGGTCCTTTGGCTTACAGTCTAACAGGAGAAACAACAGGGGAGTACACAGGTATATGCAGACTAAATTCAAAGCCATTAAATAGTAGTTTGATGGAGAGGCCAGTCACATGCAAGGGGGATCAGGTACGGTTCAAGGAGAAGATGCTGTATCTTAAAGAAAGGAAGAAAGGGATCTCCAAAGTGAAGGGGGATTGGGAATATATCCCAGGCATGGGAGGCAGCCAGAACAGAGGCACAGGGAGGAAAGACAGAGGGTCACATGTCAGGCACAGAAGGAAGACCTTTGGCTGGGTTACAGAGTGCAGTAAAGGGAGTAATGAACAATGAGGATAGAAATAAAAGGTGGGGAAAGGTTGTGAAGGACTTCAAAAGGCAAACAGAGGAGTTTATAGTTCATTCTAGAGGCCATGAGAAGTCAATGGAGTTTGAGGACAGTGACAGTCAGAAATGATTGACTAGGTCTTCTTATAACATAAAAAGATACAACTCGAAGAAACAGAGAAACACATATTTTTTTTTCTCCAGATGAGTATGTATTTTGTTATTAACTATAAAAAGAATAATACTTAACTTATTAGGACAAAACTTGTTTTGCAGAAAATTAAAAATGAGTTTATTGGAACATGGCATTTTTTCTCAAAGTGAAATCACTAACCAAACATCCATTATTAAAATTCCTCTTCTTATCTATTAGGATTCCCATTATTATAAATTTATGGACATATGTTATAATTTAAGTTTATAAAAGTATAATCCCTTCAAAGTAAAAAAAGTAGATAAAACCTTTAAAATGCTTTAGTTCCCCAGTATTAACAGAATGAAACATATATTTTGGACATGAGTGATACAGGAATTTATTTTGCTTGACTATGCATATTTGTTACAAGTTTTTTTGAAATTTTTTTTAATTGGGAGGAGGTGGGAGTGAAAATAAATTGTGAAAAAGATAGACTGGAAGCTCCTTGAGGTCAGGGGCTGTCTTTGCTTTTGTATTTTTATTCCTGGGGTTTTGCATAGTGCTTGGCACATAGTAAGTTCTTGTAGAATGATTTTTCATTCAGTATAAAAAAAAGAAAGAATTTAAGCACTAAGTAGGAGCACTAAGTATGGGCAGCTAGTGGGTGTCATGGTGCATAGAGTGCCAGGCCTGGAGTCAGGAAGACTCATCTTCCTGAGTTCCTAGCAGGCCTCAGATACTTACTAGCTGTGCAACCCTGGGCTTGTCACTTCACCCTGTTTGCCTCATTTTCCTCATCTATAAAATGAGTTGAACAAGGAAATGGCAAACCACTCCAGTACCTCTGCTAAGAAAACCCCAAATGGGGTCATAAAGAGTCGGACATGACTGAAAAACAACTGAATGACTACAAAGAATCTTTTGTGGCTGAGGCAGTTATTTAAAACTATAATAAGTGGAAGCATCATGAAATAATGTTTTTGGTGTGTCTTTCCCTCAAGTTTGTCACTGTCCTTTGCCATTGTTGAAAGCTAAGAAGAAAGAGAAAGCTCTACTTACTTGAAAAAGTTTGTTGCTTTGTTAATTCTCTGGACCTGGGCACTGGTCAGCCTTTTCTGGCCATTCACACACTGTGAATCAGTATGCTAAACAAATAGAGAAGTTTACTTATTGTTTTAGCATAACACTATGAAGACAGGCTGAAAGCAAAATTTCATTATATCCTCTCATGTAAAAAAAAGTCCAGGAGTTATAAAAAATCTTAGCCCCAAACTCCAAGTAGATCTTTAGAACATTTAACTAGAGTTTAATTGCAAATACAATGTCTATATTTGAGGAAGAGATTTTACAATTTTTAAAAAATACTTTTTGACCCAGAGATCCCACTACTAGGCCTGTACGCTAAGAAGGGCAATTGCAGAAATAAAGGCCTCGTCTATACTAAAATATTCTTAGGAGCCTTTTTTGTGGTAGTAAAAAACTAGAAACAAAGAATGTATTGCAGGGAAAGCTGAACAAAACAGATATAATCCAGTATAATTGGGTAACAAGAAATGATAAATATGTAGGATTCAGAGAAACATGAGAAGATGTATGAAATGATGCAGACTGAAGCAAACAGAAGCAGGGAACAATGTGGTTATTGACTGATGTACGTGATAAGAATATCAAAAGGAAGCTGAACTCCAAGTAACTATAAAGCCCACTCTTGTGCCAGAAAAGAGATAATGGACCAAAGTGTTCTCCTCTTATCAGAGAGATGGAGATTATAGGCAGAATGTTATACATGTTATCAGACATAGTCTGGTATTATATTAGGTGTTTTTATTTAACTGTTTTTTTCTTTGTTCCAGGGAAAGGTTCAGCATTGGTGGAGTGGGGGTAGGAGGCAGTGATATAGGTAGAAATCAATGTTATAAATTAATATAACAGACTTTTTAATAAAATGCCTTCAATTAACTAGCTAGCAGCTTAGTATTAAAACGCTTTACCAATATCTGTTTTTTTCAGAGATAGTATCCTAAAGAAATTTAGGAAACAAATCAACATGAAGCACCTCAACTCATTGCTACTCTCTGGAAATACAGTGTTCTAGTTTCCTGGTGCTTCTGTGTCATCCCTAGTCATGGCTCATACATTCTGGCTTAGACATAACCATGTCTCTTTGGCAGCTGCTAAAATGCATCGGTGTGTTATTAGAACCAATTTGCCAAAGTATAACTCGGTAGGCCCGTGTTTGAGGAAGACTGGAGAAAACCTTTCATTGACCTGAAGAACATCAGTGGGAAAAATAACTTTTGCCACAGACCCTGGCCTCTCACATTCCTACCACTTGGACTTGGAGTGTTCTTTTCATTGTGTTGCTTTGATTTGGTTTTTTGGACATCACTTTGTTATATTGATTATTTTTAGGTAATAGCTCTGCCAAAGACCTGCCAGGTAAGGTAAGTCTTATAGATATGCAGAAGGAAAATAGATGTCTCTAGACCTGAAACAGGCAATTATCCCATGTGAAAAATGAAGACATGAGAAATGAGATATAATGTAAGATGTCACATGTGAGAAGAAAGACAGATGGTCCCCTAGGTCTGAAGTACACTCTAATGATCACAGGGCATCAAAGTTTGTTCTCTGACAGCATGTCTGCACTGTCTTGAGTAGTCCTGAGCTCACAGGTACACACAAGAGATCATTTTAGGTCATCTGAATAGGAAATACTAGTCTAAGTATGTTCTCACTACAACTAGGGAGAGAGTAAGAAAGTTAGGGCTGTCAGAGTGTGCTTACACCTTAGAGACTTAGATTATTATTATTTTTTTTTTTACTTAGATTATTGTTTTGAAAAGTACAGAAACCTACACTAATGTCCCCTTCCAATGCCTCACTGTGGCATAATGGTTATAAGGTTATGCCACAGTGTAAGCTCTAGAAGATCCTACCAAGCTGCAAAGGGTTTTAGTACAAGTTTGGTGATGGACTCCATATGTCTGTTATCTCCAGATGTGGCTCCCTAGGTGATAGTGCCTCATCGCCAGTCTGGCCACAAGTGCGTAAAGAATTTTTGTTATTGTTAGCTTTTTTTTTTTTCAACAGAAATAGAATTTTTGTTTCCTCAGAAAAGAACATTTAGTGATGGTGTCCTTGATGAATAAGGGTAACCACTCATCTTTTGCAGTTCAATAACAGTAACAAAAACAACAATAAGAATATCTCAGATGATCAAGTAGAAAAGCAGGGTCATTCCAGATAACTGGAGCCATTGTTGACTGAGTAAATAATATAATGACTAGTAGGGGAAATAAGTTAACATTTAGCATGGAAATGGTCATTCTATTTCAATGAATTAGGTAAAAAAGCTACAATTATGTAGTCTTCAAAAACGATAGCATAATGATATAGTTCTTTATCTGATTTATAGAGAATATTACAGCTTGATACAGAGGGAGAAAAAACATAATTGACATGGAATCAGTTAAAATTAAAAGATAAGATACTTACCCTCCCCTCCCCCCCCATCCCCATGCCCAACATGCCTAGAAAAGAATATATCATTTGGCTAAAGGAATGAAGAAAAAGTCCAGGGATGCTTAAGTTTCTGAAAATGGAAGTGCATGAAGGTTTTGAACACATTTCAAAGACATTCCACTAAGTCATAAAGAAGCTGTGTTCCATATCCATGGAGGCAATACTCACACCAGGCAAAATCACAGATCCTTGAAGAACCCAAAGAGAGAAAAGCACAAATGTTCACAGCAAAATTCAGTAATAATTAGTGCTGGGAGGACAATATACCATTAATGTTATAAGCTTTCTTCATTACAATTAGATAACTACATGTCATTAGATAGGAACACGATTAGATTGTTTGGCAGGTGGATACTTTTGAATTACTTAAGTATGAATTACAGACTAATTTTAATGAAGTACAATTTATTACTTTCAAGTATATACAATTCATTTCGATAAACATTAATTACTCACTGTGTACTAGGCGCTATTCTAAGCAATGGAGATAGAAAGAAAAAAAACAAAGTCATCCCTGGCCACAGGAGCTTGCACTCCCCTAAAATGAAAATATATTACATAACAGATATCCTTAAGAGACTTGTTTAAAAGAATATGTAAGGATGATTTGTTTAAAAAAAAGCATATTAATTATAAATGTTGCTTACAAAGTATATAAGAGAAAAGGCTGTCTTCTTAAGCACTTTATGCAATCCTTTAAAAACATTTTTTGCACTATTAATTTGTATTCTCTATGGAAAAAAAGCCTTGTATTACACATAGTAGGTATTTAATAAATATTTAACTGAACTAAACTATGTTGTTATGTAAAGGCAAACTTCATAAAAGGCCCTGAGTAATCATAACAAACTGCAAATTAGCAGAGTCTGAATTAATAAAGTATAGCTGTGTATCCAAATCTTGGGTATAGGAAAATACTTTACAACAGTGATTGTACTATTTAAAATATCTGACATGTGAAGTACTATAAACCGTTAACGTAATAGGAAATTTAAAAATTAGAACCAAAAATATTTCTTTTACCTGGGATTGATAATTGGATTGCGTAAAAACTGGTTCTTCTTGGCAAGATGGGGTTTCCATTGGACTTTCTGGGGAAAGACAGATTCACAAAGATTTATTTTCAGTTCTAGCCTCTCCTTTGAAGTCTAAAATGACAATACATCATTGTTTCATGAACAGTAATAATTATACATAACCACAAAATTATTTTTAATGAAGGACCATCACCATTATATCCTTTCTTTAAAATAGCAACTGTGAAAAAGTACAGTTCTGTGTGAATTTAAGTGTGTGACTCAAAATTAGAACTTTCTTTTCTGAGCATTATTCCCATGTTTGTTCACATGAGGAATGAATGAATTACTCTGGCTTTGAAATGCTAGATCTAGTCTTAAATATATCATATCATACCTTGGCATTTAACTCCAGCATTACAACCAGGTTTATTTTCAACATTTATATCTCTTTCTTCAAGCTTTGTTGCAAAAATTTCACTTTTCAATTCCTAAGAATAAAAAGATTATACATCAATAATTCTGTTGTACCTATTTAACACTGTACTATATAAAATTAAAAGTAACTATAGGAAAAGAATAATAGTTAAAACCTGCTACTTGAAATTATCTAAGGCAATTTATATAGAATAACTTTAAAAAACAGTTTTAAATTTCACTATATCATACCAACTATATGAAACCCAGAGATTTATATTAATTATACCAAGTCATGAAGACAGTAGGGCAGGGCAGAACAAGAAGAATAAGGACTAGCTGTCAACAAGACCAATGTGGTAGACAGCTAGACATAAAGCCAAGATGCCACAAAGAGTAGGGGTAGAGAAAACAATTAGTATAGACCAAGGGTTATTAATCTGTGATGCACAAACCCCCAAGGGGTCTGTAGATAGGTTTTAGAGGGTCTGTTAATTTGGATGGAAAAAAAAATTACATCTTTATTTTCACTAATGAATATAGTCAACAAAGAGCATTCTGAGAAGGGGTTCATTAAGGCTTCACTGGACTGCCAAAATCAGTGGTGTCAAACTTAAATAGAAATAGGGGCCACTAATCCATATATAAGGTTCCCTGTGGGCCACATTTTGATGTAGTTTTAAAATGTAATGTTATCTATATTTTTTAAAATATTATTTATTTTGTTAAATATTGCTCAATTACATTTTAATTTGGTTTGGGTTGCATTAAGAAGTGTCATGGGCCACATGTTAGTTATTCCAGAGAGAAATCACAAAGTTAGAGTCTGAGTTATCAGGTTAATTAGGGTGCACCTGCTTTATGGACAGATCTATATCAAATGATAAGATATCAGTCACAATGTCTAGACTCTGATCTCTGTTTGGTCCTCCAGATGGGGCCTGAATCTTGACCTTGACAATACACTTGGACTTTGCTTCTCCTTGTGCCCCTGCTCCTGATCTGGATTTCTAAAGACTGACCTAATACGTGCCACACTGACAACCAAAGACAAGAGTTGTCTGCCCTCTGTCTTGGTTTTAAGGATCTTTCATGGTATAAACAGATAAGTCCCAGATAGTGTGCTGCTATCCAGAATGAGAGAAGACAAGGCATTTGTGATTCTAGATTGAAGCAAAGGCAGCAGGCTTTTGAGGAAGTCAACTAGGTCTTCAGAGTTTGACTTCCTATAAAGAATAATTATCAACAAAAATTTTCTAAGTAGAATATTTTGGTTAGAGTATAAGTTGGGTGTAGGTGAGTAGTGAGAGGTGAAGCTGCAAAAGTAGTCTGGACCCACAGCAAGGAAGACTTTGAATGCCAGGCTTAGTCATTTGGACTTAATTGTTTATGTGATGAGGAATGTATTTGAACTGGGAAACAATATCAAGTGATATTGTAAGGAGATCAATATAGGGGTTGGTATTCCAGGTGGATTGGAGGAAAAAGAGTAGAAGGGACACCAGTTAGGAAAATATTACAGTATAAAACATATAGTAATAAAAGTCAGATTTATGCTGCTGACATTAGGAATAGAAAGAAATTGACAGATTAAAATGAAGTTGTAAAGGAAAAAATAAGGACTTGGAGACTACCTTTATTATAACTTGCCTGATTTTCAAAGTTTTTGAGAAGATTTTCATCACTGTCTTCTTGAAAAGAAGTCACACTTGTTGGCTCATAGTCTACCTGAAATATCTTTGTTACGATGCCACTTTCCCTGCAGTCTCTGAAAATTAATAAACAAAAAGTTTTCTATAACAGAGAGGCAGAAAAGACATTTGCAGTAATGCAATAATAGTAAAATTATCAATGAACATTTTTAGTTCAACTACTCAATTATTGAAACACAATGACAAAATGGAAATATTGTATGGATTAATTTCTGCTTTCTCTTCTTACCATTTACTTATGGTCAAGTGAAAATATCAATATCCTATAGCCTATTTTATCACCAAATATTAGGTGGCCTATATCTATATCATTCACACTATATCATGAAAATTCATTCTTTTGACTAAAATTATCATCCAATGTGATTCAACAAGGTTTTTTTTTCTACCCAGACCAAGCAAAACAGGGATCCTTCAAAGTAAGGGTTATATAAATGAGCATATGGTTTAATTGGATCATTTTAATATCAGCATCAATATTTTAGCTATGGTTAAATCTGAGGCCTCTAATTTCTACATGTAAACATTGTGTAGAGTAACAACAATATTGTAATGATGATCACTATGAAAAACTTAGCTACTCTGAGCAATATAATGATCCAAGATAATTCCAAAAGACCTATGATGAAAAATGCTATGATAGATATGATGAAAGATAAATGAAATATTTTGATAGAGATGTTAATACAGTATCTCAAGAGAGAAAATAGTATCTTCTAACCAGAAAATAAATCGCTAGTTCTTGAAGTGTTTGGTAAAAATCTGAGTAAAGTCTATTAAAACTATGTCACATTTATCTATTATCATGCCTTTTTATTTACCTATGTGACATTTAAAAGTCTAACTCAAGAGAGCATTTAAAGCTACTTAGTAATGTAGTTCAAACAAATTTTTTTTAATCTTTCTTTTCTTTTCTGTAACATTCATTTTATTAAAATGTTGAATTCCAAATTCTCTCCCTCCCTCCTGCCCCAACCCCACCCACTGAGAAAGCAAGCAATATATCAATTATACATGTGAAATCATGCAAAACATTTCCATACTAGCCATGTTATGAAAAATAAAAAATAAAAAATAAAAAGCAAGAAACAAAGAAAATTTAAAAAAATATGCTTCAATATGATCTCCATTCATACCTCCTCTCTCTGGAGGTAGATAGCATTTTTCATCATAGGTCTTTTGGAATTGTCTTGGATCATTATATTGATCAGAGTAGCTAAGTTTTTCATTGTGATCATCATTACAATATTGCTGTTACTGTACACAATGTCAAACAAATATTTCTAGATATGTTCCATGACCTTCTCTTAGGCTCTAGTCAGATGCCCTGCTACTTGGGACCCTGGCTCCAATCCTAGGGGAAGAATTAGGCAACAACCACCACATAGAAACTCAAAGGAATTAGTCTCTGTTCTGTTCCCTAGTTCCCAGATTATAGCACCAAAAGAAAAAAGAAACCTTAGGTTTTCATCCAATGTGATTCTTCTTTGAGATATTCAGAGAAACATATCAAGACACTTGAACTGATAACAGAGTGAAGTGAATAGAACCCAAAAAATAATATACATAATGACTACCATGATATAAATAAAAAAACAAGATGAAAAAGGTAAAATCAGATTAATTAGAATAAGTAATCCAGGTCCGGGAAGACAATCATGAGACAATGCCTCCCTCCTCTGGGTAGATATGTAAGGGACAACCAGGTGGAATGCCACATCTTCGGAGAGTGGTCTTTTTAACAGTTGGTTTTGCTTCACTACTTGTCTTTACAATCAGGAGGGGAGAAGAAGCAGAAAATGACTACTGTATAAGAAATAAAAGATATCAATAAAGATTTTAAAATCAATAAAATACATTACCCAAACAGCCTGACTGATACAACATAGTGAACTTTGTAATTAAGTTAGAAATGGGAAAAACCTGGACAATTAAAGAGTCAAAACTGCCTGGGATGAATTGACATTACTGAGTGAGAAGGTGGTTTAGTCCATGGAAAACAATCTATAAATCCTAGCTGACCCACTTGAAGAGTTAAAGTATTTAGTATTTTGTATTCTACTTTTGAAATTCTCAGGTATCAGCTATCTTGAAAGATTAACATTGTATTAAACAATTCCCCAAAAATACACCTCACAGGTAGACCAGCAGGAGGAGTATGAAAGGCACTTTTCAGGTCTATATTCTCTAGGGATTCAGACAGGTAATCGTGCAGCATTGTGCTTGAAACCTAGACGGTGCCATAAATGATGACAAACCTGTCTTGTAGGATACAATGATGTATCACTGCCATGTCACTTAATCAGCCCCGCAATTGATTCTTCTTTCAGAAAACATAATAGTGAAAGTTTCTAAGTTTAATAAAATGAGGCTTTATGTGAAAATAAGAAAAAGTTATTGGGTAGGAAGGGGAAGAAAGGATACCAATGAAATAACTAATATCACGTGTAATTGGGGTTTGGCACATGCCAAGACCCACTATGATAGCGTCATCCACATGGAAGACTCTAAGGAGCTGCCTACAGGAGGCTGGATAATCTGTGCTGGCCTACCACATGGCTGGGAGCAGTCTTTCTCCATTGGCTGAAAAGTCTTTGTCTTGCCTTTAACATGGTCTGACTCAGCACATGCGTGTGGCTTTTGCTGCATGTCTGAGGAAGGAGGTGAAGTGGAAAGATCTCAGCACCTCCTCTCCCACTGAAGCCTTATGGCCTGAGAAACAGCTCTGGGTCTTTGGCTTTCTTCAGTTTCTTTTCTGAGCTAGCTCAGGAACATGAGCTACAGGGATCAGGAGGTCCATGAATCCAGGCCAGATACTACAGCCAGTCCAGCAGCAAACAATCTGAGGAGCAAGGGGTCCAGTGACTTCATCCTAGCAGAAACTGGCACTGCCAGCTTTGAACTTGATCTTGGTGAGACCAAGGCTATGTAGAAACTTAGCTAAATTATAAGCCTGTTGTTGTATGGTCATTTTTTCAGTCCTGTCTGACCCTTCATGTCTTCCTGACTATAGGCCACTTTACCACCTAGCTGCTCCAATTATGAGCCTAATTAACTAAACTACTCTAGGTGGTATGGAGGGGGATCATGTCCCCAAGGAACTGGGGAGAAATGTTTGTACATTTGTTCTTAACATATCTTTGAAGTAAATATCCCATTGTATAATCTGATGGTAAATGGTTAAATAGAACTGGGGAGTCACTGGGCCCCTAAAAATTAGGGGAACACAGCCAATAGTATGTTTGAGCCAATGACAGAGAAAAGAGACCCTCCCCTAACCTTTTCAGTGTGAAAAGTAATAGATCTGGCCTTGAGAGAGTGGGGGGCAGTCAACTGTATTACACAAAGCATCCAACGTCCAGCAGAACGTAAGCTCCTAGAAGGCAGAGATTATTTTTCTTCTTATGCTTATGCTTTATATACAGTAGACACTTAATAAGTGTTAAATTAATTCAATGGACGTATGTTGAATATGGTAGCACATACTGTAATAAGTCTAAGACACAGAAAAATAAATCCAGCAGTAAAAAAAATAAAAAAGTTTTAGAAGTAGTAAACTGAAACCTGAGCCTTGGAACATAAGGAAATTAACCATAAAAATATATTATTTCCATGGGAAAAATTGATCAGGCCTATCATTACATAATAATGGCTATCTCCTTCTCCCTACCTGCCTTCAAGCTTCCATGATCCTGGGCTCCAGCTTCTACCTCTAATCAGAACTTTAAGCTCCATCCAGAGATCCTAGGCTACTGATTGGTGAACATTTAGTAATTCCAGCTCAGACTCAGCCCCATCGTGCTCTTTCCCAGCCATCATAATGCCATGATGTGCTACAAATATTCTTCTTGCTCAGTCCTTGGTTGGGCTCTGAGACAGAGATAGGGGCAGGATCTATGATTTCACCGGTGTAGAGAAGAGCTGTCAAAAATGTAATCCACAGGCCACATGTGGCCCACAACAAACCTGAGTGCAGCCTAAACTATATTAAAATGTAACTGGGAAATGTTTAACAAAATAAATAAAACTATAATAAAAGCAGAGATAATATTACATTTTAAAACTAGTCAATATATTGCCTACAGGCATTGTACTCACACACGGTTTGGTGGTCACTTCTTTTTGAGTTTGATACCACTGGTGAAGAGAACTTCCTCAACCAATGCAGACTGGAACCTTCTCTGCAACTTATAGTCTTAGTGAGATGCCTAGAGCAGTGAGGGGTTAAATGACTTGCCCAAGTTAACTAAGTGTAAGACTGGGGCAGAATTTGAACTCAAGTCTTTCTGGCTTTGACACTGGTTCCAGAGCTCTGGAAACAGGAATCAAATCAACATTACTATTCCTACAAAGGAAATGTCAACTAATTACCCTAATACTCCAATGATCATCTCTGTGACTTCCTCATCAAAAGACTCTTCCTCGGTCACCCCTCCCCTATGCAAGTTGTCTTCCCTTATTAGAACATAACCTTTTTGAGGTCAGCTACTGTTTTGCTTGCTTACATTTATATCCACAACATTTAGTACAGTGCCTTATACAAAGAAAGCACTTAATCAATGTTTATTCAGTCATAGTAATTTTTCAAGACATTTAGTGCTAACTTACTTTGACACTGCCATAGCTTTAACTTGTATTTTTCCATCAGGAAGAGTGATTGGTCCTATATACTTCAAAGTGCTATTTTCACCATATCCTTTTCTCTTTAATAATTCAGGTCTGCTGCCATCCAAGGTGTAATATATGTTGACATCTGTGGTGTCTGGAGGTCATAAATAAAACAAATGTGATAAATAACACAAGAGTCAGCAAAAATAATCCATAAAGAGTAATAAATTGTTACTGAAGGTTTTTTTTACTCATTTGTTATAAAGGCTATGGGAAACTTTTGGGGCAGCTAGGTGGCTAAATAAGTAGAATACCAGACATGGAGGCAGGAAGACTCATCTTCCTGATTTCAAATCTGGCCTCAGACACTGACTAGCTATGTGACCCTAGGCAAGTCACTTAACTCCGATTGCCTAGCCCCCTCCAAAAAAAAAAAACAAGAAAGAAAGAAAGAAAGAAAGAAAGAAAGAGAAAGAAACTTCAAATGGGGTCATGAGGAATAGAACACAACTGAAATGACTGAACAACAACAGGGAAATGTTTTGCATGATTTCACATGTATAATAAGTGTCATATTGCTTGCTTTCTCAACAGGTAGGGAGGGGCTGGAGAGAGGGAGAGAATTTGGAACTCAAATTTTAAAAAATGAATTCTAAAAAATAAACATTTAAAAAAAAACCTCTAAGCTAAAATTTAAGCTCAGGTCAAGAGCTACTTGCTGCTAGTCAACATGCTGATGGATTCACAAAAAGGGACTTAAGCAGTCATCCTCACCCCGAGGATCAACACTAAGCTCACTCTTCTGCTTTCAAAGTCCTCTTTGTATTTGAGGGAGAGGGAGATCTGACACCATCAACCTTTATCAAGTGCCATTCTATTCAGAAGGAGGGTACAAAGAACAATAAAAGATGAGTCTGGGCATAATCTCTAACAAGTATGATTGTCAAAAAACATCAATGGTGCACCAAGACCCTTTGGAAGCACCATGTTTGTGATCACAAAACTAGGCCAGGAGGGTGATAGGATTATTATAGTCTTACGAAGGCAGTCTCTAAACTCCTTTTTCCTAATGGACCCAACAGTGCTTCTCTTTCATTCTACCCCTCTGTAAGTAACTTAAATGCAATTAATTGGTAATATCCCTCAGAATTTAGATAGTTCTGGTGCCTCTCAGAACTCACCTATCTATCTTTTCTCTACTGTAACCCATGTGTGAACTACAGGAGCTCAGTGACTTCCCCTTTTTACTGATAACACTTATCTGAATATTTCAGCTCTCCCTTGAAAAACTTCAGTGTTGGTCTCTGAAGCTCCCATACTGAGGCTTAAGTGACTAGTTTATTGGAATGCATGGCTGTTAGACTTTAAAGGTATATAGAAATGGGTAACAAAATTTCTCTCTAAACAAGTTAGTAGAAAAAAAACTCTTTTAGTAAATGACTAGACAATAGGATTCCTCAAATGACTAGGTAAATGAAAATTGCCTTTTAAAGCATATGATAATAAACCAAGTTGTTTAAAAACACACACATACAAAAGAATACTTCTACTCTCTATAGCTGTAAAAGGTATATGATCTGCTTCTCTTCTACTTTTTAAAATATGATCTTAAATACTAAGATCATATATCCACTCAGACTGTACTGTAGAATATGGTGTAAGAAGTCAGCATGAACCTGATTTCTTCCAGTGCCTGTTCTCAAAGAGGTCAGTCAGAAACAACATGCAAACAACTACATACAAATGAGCTATATACAGGATAATTGGAGATAATCAATAGAAAGAATACAGTGGCATTAAAAGGGATCAGGAATAAAAATGAGATTTTAGCTGAGGCTTGAAGGAAGCTAGGGATGCCAGCAGGTAGAGATGAGGAGGATGAATATTTCAGGCATGATGAAGTAAATGAAAAAGCCCATAGTCTGGTGAGGAGACTGGAAATATGTGTTCTCTTACTGCCTTCTCTTACGTTACTACCTGTGTAACGTTGGGCAAGTCATCTAACCTTCTAAGCCTCACTTTCCTCATCTGTAAAGTAAAGGATTTGGACTATTTGGCTTCTAACATCCTGGATAACTCTAGATCCATGATCCTAGGATCTTGGGTATCAGCTCCCTGCTAGCTAATTTTATTCCGTTATTTCCGATACAAAGGTCATTTTCCTTGGCAGACAAAACAGAATTGAGTTGCTCTTCCTTCTGTTATCAGTCATCATCATCCCATCTGCCCCAAGAAAAGGTCCTGTCCATTCTTTGATCCTCCTTTTTCTCCCAATACAGCTTTTAAAAGAGACCATTTTAATTGTTCTTGGCTTCACTCTCCAGCCTCAACTCATTCTGAACTTGAGCTCTCTGGACATTATTGATCAATCAACAAGTATCTATAAAGCTTGCTGCGCTAGGTGCTAGTTAACACAAGCACAAAAATGAAAAAAAAAATCTCTAATAGCAAGCAGTTCACATTGTTATCAGGGAGACAAGTACACATGTCAATACAAAGTAAACTAATATAAATAAATACAGAGTATACACACACACAGTAGGTAAACACAAAGTAGCCAGCAGATAAGGGGTGGGGGGGGTAGATAAAGAAAGGCACTAGCATCTGAGGTGAATCAGGAAAGATTTCATCTAGAAGACGGTTCTTGAGCTACGTCTTTTTTTAATTTTTAAATTTTTTTAGTTTTAGGCAATTGGGGTTAAGTGACTTGCCCAGGGTCACACAGCTAGTGTCAAGTGTTTGGTCTAAGGCCAGATTTGAACTCAGGTCCTACTGACTTCAGGGCCAGTGCTCTATCCACTGTGCCACCTAGCTGCCCCCTTGAGCTATGTCTTTAAGGACAAGAAGGATTCTGCGAGGCGGAAGTAAGGAGAAAGTGCATTTCAGGCACTGGAGACTGACAGGACAAAGGTAGGACATGGGAGATGAGATCTTGTTCATGATAAACAGAGAGAAGTTCACTATGGCTGGTTCGCAGGTGGAGGGAGTAAAGTCCAATGAGGCTAGAAATACAGGTTGAGGCCAGCTTTAGAAGCGAAATAGCAGAGTTTATATTTGATCCTAAAAGCAATAGGAAGCCACTGGAGTTGACTGAGGGGAAAGTCACATGGTCAGATCTGTGTTTAAGGAAAATTACTTTGACAGCAGTGTGGAGTACAAGAAGAAATTTGAGGCAAAGAGACCAAAGAGACTTGCAAAAGTCTAGGCAAGAGGAGACAAAATCCGAACCAAGGTGACAGCTGTAATGAGCAGAGAGAAAGTGTCAGATGGGGAAGGTGTTATGAAGGTAGAAAAGTCAAGCTTTGGCAACTGATTGGAAATGTGGGGTTAGGGAGAGTGAGGCATCCAAGATAATGCTGATGTAATGAACCAAGGAAACTGGAAGAATGTTGATACCTTTTACAGAAATAGGGAAGTTTAAAAGAGAGGAGGGCTTTGGAGGAAAAAAAATTACTTCAGTTTTTGACATGTTGAGTTTGACTTATCTCCAGGATATGCAGTTTAAAATACACAATAGACAACAGATGATGTGGAACTGAAACTCAGGGAGAAGACTGGATACAGATAGATAGATCCAGAAGTCAAGGGAATGAAGATAACAGTTGAATTCATGGGAGCTAATGAGGTTATCAAGAAAGAATGTATTGAAGGAAAAGAGAAGATGGCATAGAACCTTGCGGAACACCCACAGGGTTTTGGGGTTGGGATATGGATGATGAGCTAGAAAAGAAGATTGAGAAGAATAGGTCACACAGGTAGGAGGAGAACCAGGAAAGGGTAGTCCCATGAAAACTCAGAGAGGGGAGAACATCTAGTAGAAGCTGACCCACAGTGTCAAATGCAGCAGATAGGTGGCGAAGGATGAGGACTGAGAAAAGACCATTGGATTTGGCAATTAGGAGCTCATTGGTAACTTTGGAGAGAGCCTGCACACAACAAATACTGGGTGGTCCGTTGGTCCTCCTACTCTCCGCTGACAGCAGAGACAGCTTCTGACTCATTTTCTTCCTCCAACTCAACCCAGGGCAAATAGCTCTCCCTCACTTGGCTTCCTACACCCCAAAAATGACCAACTATGAGCATGGCAGTGAAAGGACAGTTGTTGGTATAAGTAGACTTCAGCCTAGGCTTTGGGCCTTTAATTTCCTTTTCTTTGCTTTCCTTCCATAAGCATAGGTGATAAAGCAGCAAGGGAGAGGGGGAGTTAACCAGTCTCCAAAGAAGCCTTGTGATTGCAAGAGTTCTGATTGTCAGAGCTGATGGGCAGCAAAATGAGCATTCTGCAACTACTCTCTGTTTGAGGAGAAGCATGAACAGGAGGAAGACACAGACTTTGAGAGAGACAATACGGAGTTAAGGTGAAACACGAGGCTTATTTCATGGTTCTGAAAACTGCTTCACATTTTTGGTCATTTTTGATGGTTTTAAGTATCAACCTTCCAGGAAAGTATAACAGTATTATAAGTAACTGCTTCTTATGGAAGTTTTTGTCAATGAAAGCATCTGGGTCTTATGTGTATTAAGTACTTATTTTGAGTAGAAGAAATAAATAATTGTCCTATACCTGATCTACATGATCCAGAGTACCTTTGTCCCTTTTGGGGAGACTTAATACATAAGCTAAACCTAAGTTTTAAGTAATTTGTCATCAGACTCTGGAATGGAGGTGTAAAAAGGCCAATAGTTAAGAGTAAGAATGTAACCCCTCTCTTTAAAAGCCAGACATCCTCAGGACTTAATCCAAGTATCTTGCATATATGAATTCAGAGCTTGCTGTCCTTTGACAGAGAGAAAGAGGGCAAGCACAGCAGCCCCAATGGACCCAGCAGTAGTTTTTCTGGTTACATTTAAAAGCTGAATTCATTGTTTTATTTGGACTGGGGAATGTCAGCTCATCAAGATTACAGCATATGCCAATGTTCTATCAAAGAAAAGTAAATAAGAAGCCAAAAAAACTTTCTTGACATTGAAGACAAAACATTCAAATGGGGGGAGGGGAAGGAGAATGATTTGGGGGGAACAAAATCTCTTGAAAATAAATGTAAAAAGACTTCTTTAAACACACACACACACACACACACAAAACATGTATCAGGATAACAATATTTTAAAGACAAGTAACTTTGAAAGGCTTAAGGAACTTTCATCAATACA